TCTCGCGTTGGCATTGAACTGTAATCAGAGTAAGCTGTCAGAAGTTGAATTTTTCTCGGGCAGAAATCACGCAAGAAATGTGTGTATTCATTCATTAAATTTAATGGGTGGAAATCAAACAAAAAGCAGCCACAAATTCCGGCTATCAAAGCGGACAAAGCTATCTTCGGGGATCGGGATTACAGCCCATCGATTGGCCTGGCCATCACATACATAAGGCCAAGAAAAAAGACCTGAAAAAGTGGCGACTGCTAAAGTTGTTGCAATTGAATTTGCATAAATTGTGGCCGGAGTCGAGTTCCTTCTGGTTTACTGGTTTGCTCTGCGGTTATGCAAATGGTGAACCCCCCCCCCCCCCCCCCACACACACATACACATACACCCCTTGTGTGCATTTGAAAATGCATAAGATTTATCCAAAGATTGCTGTCCATTAATTCAACTTGGATTTACTTTTAGCATATTTTACTACATGCAGCCGAGAGACTTTTTGTATTCACAGTTCGATTTGGACTCGAATACGCAAATTCTTTTTTTTTTTATCCACAACTACTTGCAATAAATTTGCATTTACCCACAAAATGTTTTGAACTATGAGGTTTTGAATTCGAGGGGGCCTTCGACTTACCTTGGCTGCACTGCTGAATTCATGCAAATATCTGGCAGATCTAGCGAGTTTATTCAGTCATATTGATTAGTTTTTGATTGCTGGCATTTAGGTCTAGAGATGACCTTTTTGGACCAAACATTTGGCTTGCTAATTCCAGCTGCACTTTAGTGGTCACTCAGGATAAATAAAAATGTCCAATGCCAAGTATGCTTACAGATCCCTCGACAACTTTAAATAAATACTTAAAGCCACATCTTTGTGATGAAAACTAAATGCCTTTCCTGCGGTTTTTCACCAAAAACGTATATTACATTTGTGTCAAGACAAAGGGCACTTTCCTCCGTCAAAAACTAGGTTAAGAAATCTAGTTAAATTTTTGCTGAAAACCCGAATGTAATTTGTTGGGGCCAAAAGTGCGGTGGGAAGCCGCAAAAACCTCTGATGGAAGGGAGTTTGTGTGCTAGTTTGCCGCCTCAGCAAAACACACATGAAAATTTAAATCCATTAACTGGTCAGAATGTTATACACAATTTATGAGGCGCATTGACAGCAGCAACGGAGGTGGGATCCCCGTTTTTGAACCCGGTACATACGTATACATTGAGGTATTTTTGAGGATTTAATGGCAACCGCAGCCGGGTAGTCCCAAACTTGGGCTTGTTTGAATAAACAAAGTGAACAGGACACAGTGCTGGCAATAAAACCAGCACAACTAACCAATAAACCCCGAATATCCATGGTGGTGAGGGGCTCTTTCTCTTTTTTATTTGGCCGGCCGAAAAAGCCGCAAACGCTTTAAATATTCGAATGGACACGAAATAGTTTCGGACTAGGTTGACATTTTGGTTGCTTTTCCGTTCTATCCCAAAGCCCCGGAATAAAGTTGCCACTTTACACACGATTGGGCGATGAGCTGCCCAGTTCCTGTTTCAAGGAGCTGGATGCCTTGAATATTTCATGATGTGAACTGTGGCAGTCAATTCGACGAGAGTACTTCCAAAATCCAAAATGACGGATCTTCGTATACCCTATATAAGGAAAATCCTTTCATTTGGTTAGAATTTTTGCAGCTCCATCAAAGGGTAGTACGTTTTCGGCTCTTAGGATTTTCCTTCCAGGTTTTACTTGCCTTTTAACAAAGTTAGCAGGTCTTGTAGGCTTCAATTTAGCTATTTTGTCAACGAATTATGTACATTTCAGAGTACATAAAATTGCTGGCTTACAGAGTTTGTTGAGAGGTTGGAAATTAATCGCTTGAAGTGGGTAACAGAGTTATTGATTTTGAGTGTGGGAAAGTTAATATGGGAAGTTATTGGGTAAGCCAACTCAAACTAGCAATTAACAGAAAGTAAACCCTAATTATGTTATTAGAAAATTGCTACATAGGCAAGGAACATAAAAATATTACGTATACGCCTAGCTATACTAAAATGTTCTTGAATCACCCCTTTTCTTAACCTTTTTTATATACTTCCACTTACTTACTTTCTCGTTCAACTTTTCGGGGTAAACTTAATTAAGTTCAATTAAAGTGAGCAAAGTCAGGGAAACTTTAAGCCGCAGACAGGCTCACCCACGAAAATAAAGTTGCGAGGGAAATTAGCGCCATTTGCCGTTGCCACAATTTCCCAATCCAAATCACTCAACCCCAACTAATGCGATTCATTTTCGTGTAAACTAGCGGGTCGCAAACTTTTCTCCACCCACAAATCAAGTGAGCAGGGAAAAAACGAGGAAGGCAAATCTAAGCTATAAATTCGGATATTTTTTATGGCCCTTTCTCGGTTGAAATTCAATAGCAGATAAATGCAGCTCACGATTCTCAACAAGTGCAGAGCCAAAAAGCCAGGACTAAGTGCAAATTTGTCACTCCATCCGGAAGTCGGGGATCGAAAAGGGTTGGTGATTGAGTGAGCGATGGAGTCGGTTAGTCAGGGGAGTTAGTTCCCGCCCCAATCACTTTACAACTCCAGCTGAATAAACTTTGATATTTTAGGTAAACATTTCCGGGCTGCACTGAAATGCTCTGCATTTATCAGTTAAAATTACACATTTGTTATTTCTACTTTATTTTAGCTGAACATCGGTTTGGGTACATGTCAGCCTCGACAAAGTAGTCAGCTTATATGAAACGGGGAAGGTAATTTATTTATTTTAAGATTTTTTAAAAGAATTTCTCTTCCAAGGGTTTAAAATAAAGCTTAAATACTCCCTTGTATTTCCCCTTAGAATTTAAATATTATTTTTTAATGCTATGCACTTTGCTTTAATATTCATGGCACCAGCTTCTGATTTCCCCCTTGTATTTTCCCATCTGCATATGCTTTTTGCTTGTTTCATATTTAATCAATTAAAAAATGGTGTGTACGTGCACATATTTTTTGTCCCACCCTTGGACTCGCTCATAAAAATCGGGGAATGTCCTCAAAAACACAGGATGAGATGTCAAAGTCCCAAATGCACATGTGCAGTGCTCCCGAGGACTTTACTTTCGAGTGGGGAATTTTAATTTCAAAATAATAATGAAAAGCTGCCGCACCCGCTCCAGTTTTTCCATTTCCCCTGCTGTTTTGTACTTTATCCTGTTCTGAAAACCTGACAATGTCATGAAATTGAAGCTATGTCTGCGTGTCCCCGGCTTTTGTCTAATTGTCGCTCCGCCACCCAAAAAACCACCCACCATCATAATAATGCAGTCCCCAAGGTCTCGGAGTGCATGGAAAAATGCTCGCATATGTTGCGCCTTTTTCAGTGGAGTGGAGAGGACTTGCTGGGGGTTTTTCTGCCCGAGCTGGAGGATTTTCCAAATGGGGAAAAATTCTGGGGACCTTGCGTGTGGGTTTGAGTGCGTGTCTGTGTGTTGGCAAACAAATTACAGCTGCTATTTTCAAATCATTTGGGGCCATAATTTAGGTGTGTGTCCATCTCCCTCCCTCCTCGCGTGTTTTTCGCCCTTCAAATGGTCAGCTCTTGTTGGTTTTTCCCCCTCGGTGGACCCCGGAAAATGGAAAGTGGGGGTGCGGGTTGCCCTGCTGGAAAAGCGTTAAATGGTCTGGGTGCGTCGGCTGTCAAAATTAATTTGAGTTGCGAAATTGTGATGGGAACGTTTGCAGTGGATGTAAGTCCAATAAAATTGGATAACAATATCAAAGGAACAGAAATTCATATTAAAGGTACGGTTAAAGAAGCCTCGAACATAATATACCAATAATTACTCAGATGAATTAGCAATAAATTTCATTTTTAACATTTTTTCTTAAGTCAAAAAGAAGTTAGAAATAATAAGATAATAGATAAAATATTAAAAAAAAACAATAATTTGATATTAGAGTTTATATTCAAAGCAACTAGCAAACCAAAACAAAACGGAATAAAATATTACAGATCTTAAAAAAGATCTTAACCTAAAAAAGAATGAACGAATAACAATTTTATAAATTATTAAGATTCTTTAAAGTTGAATAAATGGATTGTCCTGTCTTCCCAAAATACTGTATTTAACTCACACAGTTCCCAATTGTTTAAGGAGACCTCCTTTGTTTATTCGCGTGTCTCTGCCTATGGGCAATACCAATAATACCCAACCAGTGCAAAATGGTGGCACCTACCTACATAAATCAAAAAGGCGACAGAGGCAGAACACTCGGCTTCTGCAGTTGCCACCTTTATATGGATGTTCAAATATATGTACCTGTATCGCCCATCAGGTAGCAACAACAATTGGGAGCTGCGAAATTTTCGCTTTTCGTGTTTGGCATTTCAATTGGAAAATGTGCGCACATTTGCAATGAAACCCAGCCAACAACTGAGAATTTATGCTATAATTTTTTTGTTTTATGTGCGTTTTGCCAGAGGGCGTGGCACACACACAACAATCATTTTAAGTGTTTGTTTTGGCGCTGGGTGGATAGGGAAAAAATGCATTAACATTAATGCTGCCGCTCTTTTTCTTTTTCCCGCTGGTCTTTTTTCATTACACAAAATTATTTAATTTCCTGCAGGCGGCACGCAATTTGATGAGCAACTGACAGCCGTTCCCTCCCCCCGCTGAAATCCGGGGAGGAAAAGTGGGGGCGGCATGTGTCTGCTGATGATGATGATGATGTCCTGTGAAAAGTTTACGACGCTGCTAACCGTTCCATCCTCCTGGCCCTTCTTTTTTGCCCCTTGGAATTTTCTTCTCGCCTTGATGCGGAAATTCTCACAACTTTTTTCCAGCCTTTATTTAACGTTTATCGGGGCCAAGTTAATGACTTATGTGGGTCATTAGCATTTGGGGCTGGCAAAACGCTAAAGCGGAGGGCCTGAGCTTCAAGAATTTGTAAGCTTTACAAAATAAAGGAATAAAGCTTTAAAGAATTTCTAAGGAACGAAGTAGCTTGTGCTCTTATTTAAATCGAATGTGAATATAGTATTTGGAACTTTCCTGCCTTAAGAAATATGTGCATAATGATTTTTGGAGTATTAAGAAGTGTGGTGGCTTGTTTAAGCAATATAAAATTATCTTTAGTTATTTAAATTGTTATTTTCTTATAAAACCCAGTATATACAATGTACAAAGTGCTGGGATCTGCTTAGTTAGGGTCCTCATACTCAAGCTGTAATCCCTCATCGAGTCCCTGAGCATTGGGTGTCGCAGTCGTCGCAGATGTCGCACAGGGAGGAGCCCACCTGGTAGAACTGGGAGGCCCGGCGCTCCTTGACGTAGTAGTCGTAGACGAGGACGTAGGAGGGCCTCTGCATGGCCACGGCGTGGGCCCGGGCTGCGGTCACGGTCACGCACTTGGGATGACCCTTACTCAGGCTGTCGAAGTAGATCACCACCATGGAGTCCTCCTTCTTGGCCTTGACGAGCTTCACGCCGGCAAAAGAGCGGATCTTGTCCAGATCCTCGGCGGTGAGAACGAAGCCAGAGGGAAGTTGGATCTCCATGAGGGCCATGTTCGAGGGCTTGCCCCTATCAGCCGCCTCGATGGGGGTGTACTCGGCGCAGAATTCCAACTTGAGACGGTTCTTCGGAGCATCCTTAACCGCGGTGGTCACCTCAAAGCTGGGCTTCTCCTCCTCGGAGGCCACATTGTAGCGGTACGAGAGCTGGACAAGGGAGACTCCACTGCCGTGGCCCGAGACATATACCTTATTCGTTTCCTGCGGTAGCTCATGGTACACCATTTTGGTCCATTGCCCTGGGGTGACCTTGATGCTATTTCTTTCTCCGTCCTTCGTGAGACTGTAATCAATGTCCATATCCCCCGGTTGCTGGTAAACTTCCACTGCGAACTCGGTCAGGGCCTGCAGTCCCACCACCGTATCCTGAGTGGATCCGAAGCCTCCGTGGCTGTTCCTCTGGCCATTTAGCCAATTCACAACGGGCAAGGGCTCTTCTATGAAATCGTTCTCCAACATGGCGAGGAGCACATAGGAGGTGAGCTCCACGTCGCTGTTAGCGATGGTATCGGGATTGCTGGACCACCACTTAAGGTCATCCTTGCGTCTGGCCATCCCGTCCAGTCGGCTCAAGACCTGGTCGGCCTTTGGACTTTTGGCTTGGGCTAAAGCCAGGGCGGCAACAGCCAAGGAGAACTGATCATTGCAATCGTCCACATGGCTGGCCACATACCGAATTCCTTTTTCGACCACGCGCTGGTATTCCCGTAGGTACTCCTGGAAGGTAAACAATTTAGCAAAGTTTTATCATTACCATAAAAAACCCTGTACGTGTGGCGGCAGAGAGCGAGCACAGGTACTCCCCATGCATATTGGGACCACAATCTTACCTTGTTTTCAAGAAAGGTAAGCAGCACATAGGAGCTAAAGGCCAGGGAATTCTTCATCGCACTGTAATAGACGCCATTCAACAGGAACCTCCCATTTCCATTTTGTTTTGATGCCAGGAAGCTTAGTCCTTCCCTCAAGACACTGGGGTCTATATATGTGTATTTTTTGGCCATAAGGAAAGAGCGGATCACATAGGCTGTTAGCCAAGTGCTACTGCGGGAATAGTATTTTGTTGGGCCCCAAGTGCTGTAGGATCCATCACTGTGCTTGTAGGTCAGCTCGGTCTGGTAGCCAGTGGCCAGGAAGCCCTTGGCCTTCTGCTCAATGGCAGGATCTCTGCGGTTGGTGCCTTCCAAATATCGGAGCACCAAAATGTTGGGCACAAAGTCGATCATATTCTGCTCGCCGCATCCATGGGGCAGGCGAACTAGGTCCTCAATGTTCGTTAAAGTGGACGCCTGCATGTCACCACCCACTGATATCTCCGAGTGCTCGGAACCTGGGACAGCATTTGGGGGACGCTCCACCGTGATGTACTTTTCCGGCTCCCCCAGACTTCGACGGTTTCTATCAGTAACCTTCACCAGAATGGCTTTGTTCACGTACTTGGTCACACCGTCGGCCTCCACTCGCAGTCTTTCGTGGATGGAGTCCTGAGCCCATGGACACTGGGCGGTGATCTTCAGCGAGGTCAGTCCCACCTTCTTGGTGCGGATCATGAACGAGATGCTTCCTCCACTTTGAGCCGGTATGGTAATTCGCTTATAACGCCGACCCTGTTGCAGATTCCTCGCCACCTTTTCGCTTATGACCTCAGAGAAATCGTACTCCTGGTCCGAGTTATCCATCCAAACCGAAGCCTCCACCTGTCTATCCAGGTAATTAAAAACCACCACCGGAATGGCTATAATCTCTCCCCATTTTACGGAATACGGCAGGTTGGTAGATATGAAGAACGGTCGAAAGACACGGACTGCGGAGGGATTCTTGGTCATGGCAAACCCGGAGTTGGGGTTCAGGGAGAAGCCAGTGATTACCCAGGAGGTGATGGTATCGGGTATCTTCTTGCGGAGTACAGCACCAAATTCTCCAACGCTGGGGGTAATATTTAGGATATACGTTAAATTTCGGGAATTTTGCGCGACACTTACTCGACTATATTCTCAAATAGCCAGGTTTCAGGGAACTCCTGACGAATTGGTGGGTGTGCATCTATGGGACTGGTCGACTTTGAAAGGGGTGATAATTTGCCTAGATTTAATAATAATTAAGTCTTTAATGGAACCAAGATTTTAAGATTTCAATCATCTTACACAACAATTGCTTTCAACAAAAACACAACAGAATTAAAATTGGATGCAACTTACCCGCTTTCGGAGAATGATCTGGTTTTTCCACAGAAAGAACGGTGGGACTGCACGTATCCATAAAACCAATTTTACCTACCCCTGGGTGTACATATATATAAGCCAGATAAAAAGTTTTATAAATAGTATTCAACTCACCCAAGCTTTCATCGGTGTTTATATTGGCATTGGTAAGGGTCACAAGTTCGTTTGATGAAAAATTGCTCAGATTATCAAGGATGTGTTCATGACTGAGGTCATTACCAGATCTTAAGAGCTGAACACTCTGATCGACTCCCAGAAGTCCCACGAAGGAATGCGGATCGGTCTTAACTGATAAGCTAACCTCATCCCCAGGTTCTGCACTTGCAGGTGCCGCGACTTCAATCTGAAATTAAGTAAGAAGCTATATATTAAGTTTGAGCTGTTTTTTAATGGAGTTTGCACATACCGAATTGGCGAAGTCCTTCTGGAAAACGATTGTTTCCTCATCGGATCGCATTTCTCCGTTCACCACGTAGCTCACAAAAAGCGTGGCCTGGGGCACCATATCGAAGTTGGGTGTGAAGGAGATCCTCTGGCTTTTCACTCCTGTAGCGACTTGAACATACTTACTCAGTATGATATTACCACGTGCGACGATCGTGAGCATGAAGTAGGGCAGGACCTCGGTGGATACCACATCGAACTCAACGGGTTTCTTTATGTCGTGCCTGTGTAGGATATATCGTAATCAGAGAAGATGTACTAAAATATTGTATATGCCACTGATAGAACTCACTTTCTGGCATTGACCTCGATCCTAAGTGAGCTTTGCAGCTTGAAAATGGATTGAGTTATGTTGGCTGAGCCCTCGAATGAAGCAGTCACCTCGCATCTCTTGCAGGTATTATCCGGAAACATTATTGTGCCCAGGGCCAAACTGTCCTTTAGGGGAACTTGTTTAGTTCTTCCATTCTGACCACAAATGAAATTAAATTTAACACTGCTCCTAGAGTTCGTGACCGGAGAACCATCGACATTGGTGATCGCCACCAGGAAGGAGTGCTCCTTTCCTGCCTTGTAGTTCTGGGGCCAATCGACGGATGCCATGATATAACGATTCTGATGAAGGGTCACATAGGCAGAGCCATTGTGCTTGAGGTCCGTCAGCCCCTCAGTAACGGTGGCTAGAACTTTCAGGGGTGATTTTAGGGTGGCCTCGTAGGGAAGCTCCACATTGACAGTCCCATCGATGTCCACGGTCTTCTCCGTCCTACCACCCTCAATTGAGATGGTGGCCTTTCCCTTGACGGGCTTTCCAAAGGTGTACTTGGCTTGAATGGTGGCCGTGATCTTGCCATCGGTGGCCACCACATTCGGAGGCGTTTCAACCCGGACCTCGAACTTGGGCAAAACGTACTTGTCCACCGCTATGACCTTGGTCTCCTGGCTCTCCCCTTCAATTGCGACTGCAATGGTCCAATTTCCCAGAACCGGACGACTGGATAGGAGGAGTTCTCCCGAAAACACTCCCCTGGTGGGCGTTACTTTTTTCCACTCTTTGATCTGGTTCTCCTGTCCATCGTGTATTCGGATAGATATGGGCTTGTCTATCCTGGCTGGGAGAGTGTGCCTGTCCAGAAAGAGAACTCTGAACTGCACGAGGTCGCCGGGTTTGTAGGTGGCCTTGTCCGTTTGAATGTAGATAGAGGGCTTGTCCTCTGAGAAGGAAAGTTTGGAGGTCTCCTTGAATATAATACCCGAAAGACCCTCGGCCGTGAGGCGGTAATCTCCATTGGAGATTTTCGGGATACCGAAAGAGAGCGTATTCGTGGACATGGGCTCAAGATAGACCTCCTCGGCCCTTGTAAACGAGGGTCCATCAAGGGTCACCCTGATTCTACAACGTCCAACTGCACTGTGCAGGGTAACGGCCACATTATAGTTCATATATGACCGTATTGTGTCAGGCGCCGAAACAGAATATATTCTACAATATAACAAAGAATATATTATGTTTGCCAAAAAATATAATTAAAGAATAAATTCAACTCACCCGCCTGCATTTGTTATTAATATGTATTGAAAAATAAATGTCCACAGAAATAGCCACAACATCGTGAATACTTATCTATCCAGCGCAGCTTACTCGCAGTCTGGACCGCTTCTGCTAATAAGACAATTCTAAATGAGGTTGCGAGTTGGGAACGCAGCCTCTTATGTAGAAGAATTTTAGAACACAAAACAAAATATTTGCGTTATCAATAGATGACTTGTATTTTTATTGTGTGTACTCAAAAAAGCGAGTTGACGTTTTCATTGATTCCACGAAAATTTCAATGATAATCCCATAGCAGACACCATAGTAAAAAGCATCCATGTCAGCCCTGGGCAAAGTACGTATGATATGGAAAAAGTGCATGCAGACCCAAAATCTGTTTGTAATAATAATCGTCAGAAGCAACAACCTCAGCTGGTGGGCCCCCTATTTTGCTTCTCTCGGGATTGATATGATGTATAAAATTGCATTTATAAGCAATCATGTCAACGCCAAGAGAAATATGAAAAGACATGGCCCTTGGCCCCCTCACAAAGTGTGAAGTATAGTGAGGATGATTTCCTCCTGTGCATGGAGTCTTTGAGGAGGAAATGGGGGTAATTTTGCCACAAGGAACAAAATTCACATCACACCTACGCAGTCCGCAAAACACGAAATCGAAACGGAAGTCGAGTGGAAGAACAAGTGTGAGTCTCCTATTCCAGCAGGAAATGCATTTGGCCCAACTTCACTTTAGTGTCAACTTGCCACCTCCGACGTCCCTTACTTACAAGTATTTGGCGCCATTAAAATTATTTTCTTACATTTCCTTTATTTTTTGTGAGTGAAATAAGAGGAGACAAGTTTCATGCCTGTTTGTCGGCTGCCTGGGGGCGTGAAATGTCTCAGCTGCAGAGGGAATTCCCCTTTAAGGTGACACATGTGATGTGACTGCATTAAATTTGAAGAACCAAGAGATTTTTAAGGGAATTTTTTAAAATAAAATCTTTTAGATCATGTGATGGGCCTGGTGTGGATTCGTGATTGTGTCTCATTTGGAATTATGAATCAGAGGAAGTTGATAAGGTTCCAAGGTTAATTCAAGTCAATGACCATTTCCAAAATCGAAATAGTAAATTTCTTTGTTGCCTACTGCAAATAATCAGCGCTAATGAGACTATTTTTAGGTCCTTAAAAGCAACTTCAACTTTACTTTCTGTCTTGCCAACAGCATATTAACACTCTCCGGGACAGAAAAATGAGATTCAAGGTGGGGAAGTGCATCTATCGGGAGCTGCTTAAAAGCCAATCCGAAAATAAGTGGATTTTTGAGGCATTTAAAAGCCCAAAGTGTCAGTCTGTCAGTCAGCGAGGCACTTGTGCTCAATCAGCGGGTAGAAATTCTTATGGAGAATGGGGACTTTTGCGTGGGTGGGTCCCTGTGAATGTGTCTATGCTGAAAGGGGGCGGGGGAAACTCATAACTCAAATCATCCGAACGGCAGCAGGGTCCAAATGAAGTGTCTCAAAGTATCTGTTAATAGGTGAGCCTGTCTCTCAGACAGAAACATATATATGGTTCGGTATGTCTGCCGTAGAAGCCTCACTTTTATGGTCAGCATTAAAAAATCTTTTCCCTATTTTATGGCTTTAAAGCGAAAACGGTAGACAAAATGCCAAAAGCTTGTTAGCAGGAAAACGCTTCACTTCACGATGAAGCATTTATATTTTGACTGCTGCTGCCCCTGAAAACAGTATCCGCATCAGCATCATACCACATCAATCAACGGCACTGGGCAACATTAAAATGGTAATTTAAAACCGCGAGAGAAGCCTCAGGACACTTGGCAGATAGGGCAGCGCAGGAGATCTCGGGGAGAACTCATCATGCCGACGTTTTAATGATTGGCCGCTGGCTCCTTTCCGTTGGACCGACGCTATGCAAATGGTATCCTCCAGCTCTCCGGTTCCCTTAACTCCCCGATCTCCCCGAAGTCCCCAACGCCCAGCCCAACCACCTCCCCAAACTGACTCGTAAATCAAGATTGCAACACCTAACCAACCTGGGGGAAAACCCTGGGCGGGGAAAAGGTAGAAAAGCGAACCCGGTGCAGACGCAGTAAAGTGTTTTGAGAAATGTCACCCGTGGGGCGTTTTTGTCATTTCAAAAAGTGTTCAATCAACTGTCAGCATCCAGAATTCTCCGCCCAAAGATTGAATACTCCTTGCCAGATATATTGTATCTTTAATGGCAGCCAGAAATCCCTTCAGCCATTGTCAGTCGAGAGATGTCTGCGGAAGGAGTTGCATTTTTTGAATTTACTTTAATATAGTGGATACAAATGGATCACGTGAGCCAAAATTTATTCCTAGCATAAATATACACCACGGAAAGAATGTGGAAGGTGTAGCGTTACTGAGTATAACTATGCAGATAAATACATTTTTGCTCACCCTATTAGGAAAGGGTATAATTTGAATTTCTACCTTAAGATACCACCTGTTTCAGCATTAGTATAAATACAAATCATATATTCTTAATCTAATTTAACATCCTGCTTTTCTGATTAAGTAACGTACTGCTCCTTGCGTAATCTCCTTTTGTTTGGCACCCATTTCTCCACCTAATGCCAAGCTTTCATCGGGCAATTAGCCATTCATAACTCATCTAAAATCAACAAAGCAGCCAGCCACTTGAGAGGCATTTAAAATCCGCTTAGCATCAGCTTTGGCCAACAGATATCACAGCAAATGACCCACAAATGAAGCTGAAAATACGAGCTCTGTGTACTTAGAGTCCCCCGTTTTTGCCCCATCCTCATCCCCTCTAGAAGCCCATTCCACCCACGCCGGGTGTTAAGTTCCCATGTTGAAAGACTGGGAGCATCGGATTCTTTCTCAAGTGTCTCATATGACCGAGGGATCCCGGTCTCTGAACCAGACCCCCAAGTCGAACCAGTTAGCCGCCGCATTGAACTGAACTTTGAATTAAGTTGAGCGGCTTCCGACATAACAAACACTCACTTCTCGGGGTAACCGAATACTTTGGCGAGTGCGAAAGAGTTTCTCATGTTACCTACCTTGGGTTTAAATAGGTAATGGGAAATATGCTTAGTGAGGTATTGATTATCAAAAAGAAGTATAATCTTTGGCATATTTTAAATATTTGTTTTCGGTAGTATTTATCTTTAAATCATTTTAAGTACTAACCAGTTCTAAATGCATAAACTTTTGATAACTAGGGGGTACGTAAATAAATAAGTTGTTAGAAAGAAAAAAGTGCTTGGATTAATATAAAACTCACTTTTAAGATTATAAAGTTGGGTAGATATGTATTTTCAATCGAGCAGCTTTAAACTTTTTCTTAAAATTTATAATATTTTAATTTAATCGACAAATTCTAAGTATCTTAATGTTTAGTTCATATAATTAAGGAATATAAGTGATTTTAATAGTTAATGGGAGGGTAGTTGATATATATTCCATATTAATAATATCATTCGAACCTTGTGGCCAAATTCCAAATACTACTTGCTTTTTTTCTGACAAATCAGTCTGGGAAAATGGGAGTTTCTCGCAACTTATAGACACAGTTAACTGGCTTTGGGAGTTGAGCCACGTTCCCCAAACAATTTCTGGCTTGAGCAATTATTTGTCTAAAATAATTGCCAATTGGTCGCTGAAAAAGAATGGCCAAAAAGACAATGCAGACGAGACATCAAACAATCAAAGAGCTGGGGACTCCACTCCGTCTGCCGTGGCGACTTTGACTTTCCGCTTTTGGGGAAGGAGATTTGACAATTGTTCGCGCTGCTTGTTAGTGTCCAGCGATTTCCGTTTCCGGTTCCACCGACTTCAACTTTTCAACGGCCACTCGGGATGGAACTGTAACTGTTGGGATACGGTGTCTGGCATTGAAATGAAAACAAAGCCACAATGCCAAAGCCAAAGTCAAAGTCAAAGCCAGGCGAGAAATTGGCAAATCTGGCTGGGCAAAACTGGCCAAAAGGAGTGAATTGGCGACTGGCAAATGGTGAAAAGGGATTTTAGCCATCGTTGGTATTTTATTAATAGCCAAAAGGAAGGCTGGCGGCCCTTGGATCAAAATTTCTGCAGCGTGGCTGCTTTTGGCATTCATTTCGTAGCCCCAGACGCCTTTTGTCTGACCCAAAACAATAACAACAAAGCAATGAAATCGAAAAACGTGCTCTTAGTCCCCAACCTGCCCCCCGAATAAAAAAGGGAATTTTTATTTGCCGTCTATCGGCATTATTGACTTTGGGGCCCTCATCGTCAGCTGCGGCCAGCAGGGAAAAAATATAGAAAGGAAACGAAGGAGCAGCCCATCGTCTGCGGTTTCCCCAGGAAAATAGAAGGTTACATAAAAATAATATTCCTCGCTTACTGGCTTTTCCCCCATTTGTGTCTCGTTCCATTTGTGTTTGCATTTCAACTTTCGTTTTCAATTTACGGGGATTTCTTGCTGCCCTTTTCAGAAGGCCCCCCATAAACAGGGTGTAAAATGCACCTGAACTGCAGACAATGGGCTCTATAAATGGGCTCGAGGGTTCTCTTTTTTAACAGATGAAAGTGGAGGTGAAACAGAAAAAAGAACATAACAGCGAGGTTAAATGAAAAATTGCTTTGTGGTCAATGAAAAGCCTTTATTGACATTTCCTTATCATCGCTCGTTGGTTGTGTATTGGTACATAGCAGAGTAATATAAATTCCAGGGAATTCCATTTCATTCTCGAAACCTAATCTCACTCCTGAATACGGGTAATTAAAAAATATAGAGGGCAAGGTTAAATGTGTTTGGTTTCAGTTTCATTTCAGCAAAAATCATTTTTGATTGCTACCCTAATCAGTTTTTTCACTTGAACTAGGTTTATTTAAATTATTTCCACATTATCTGTAGTGATTATTTATTTCTGGGAAATGGCTGATTACATTTTGGATTATAATATAATGATAGTGCTAAAAAGTAAACCCTCAAATCAACCCATTTCAACTCCAACATCTCTCAAGTGCTCATATTTTCAATTGCCGCTCATTACAAGGACTTATGTAATTAGAATAAATGATGATTAAAATCATTAAAAAGTTTCGCTCAAGCGCATAAATTTCCGCCATAATTCGATTGCCCCGATGAGTTTTAATCAAATTGCCCAGAGAGTTTCGCAGACATCGTCTGTCAGTCGGCAAGCCTGTAAGTCTGTAAGTCAGTCAAGGACCGCAGAGCTCATCGATTACATCTCATCAGGCGGAGAAAGAGATGGGTGGCTCTTCCGGGAAAGAGAGGGAGGATGTGGCCATGGTTGTCGGCTTAGTGTTTTGGAGTGTGGCAAATAAATTGACATTTAGCTGTGCGTGTAACAAGATCAAGTATACGCAACGTCGCCTCGCCGGCGAATACGTCGTAACTTTGATTTGGCGGCAGAGCGAGAATATGCTGCTCATTAATGTTGCATGCCCCCATCGCATTGGCACACAGTGTTTTGCTAACGTTTTCCAAGGCGGAAAGCCAGCCGACAGCAGAGCAAACCAAGTTTTTCCCCTGACAAAAGGGTCATGTGTACCTAGTATGTACGTCATGTTGCTGCTTAGAGCAAAAAGTGTTGCAAGTACGGGGAACACAGGGAAATCCATAACATGCCACCTGACATCCTGATGTGGCGATTAGTTCGTGTCCTGATTGTGTCCTGTTTGCTGTGGTTGTGCCTCTAAAGGCCTCTCTGGGTTTTCTTTTTTGTGGGTAGAAAGCAGGGGTGGAGAAATGCATTTTAAGGTATTCTTTAAGAAGTTCCTCCTAACAGAAATTTAAATTTGCTTGAAATATTAGTTTATGTTTCGTTTATAAATTGGTTTCTTATATCATTAAATGGACATATTAACACATCAATACATTGATTATTTTTCAAGATTATTTACTTAAGGCTCATAATCATGTATCAGCAACACACAAATAAAACATTTTTAGAATTATTGTTTTTAGACTTTTATAGCAAGTGTGTAATATGTTTTGGTGCAGTTTCTTAGGGGTATAGCTTATTCAAAAAAAGTTCTATGCTTTCCGCCCTGTAAAACCAAGCATGCGTGCATTTTAAGACGCCACGTAGCCACATGTTGTTGATGTAGCAACACCGTGTTGCATGTGCAACAGCAACTTCATGTCCGATCTGACTTAAGTTAAGTTGTTAGCCCCGCTGACAGTGATGAAAACTTTGCTGACAGCCCCAAGGAAAGTTGCCAGCAAAATTGGTTACTCAACGGCAGGGTTTAAAAAGCCACGACCAAGTGGGCCATCGATAAAGTTATCGGCTATCAGGCCTAACTTTACGGTTAGGATTTTCATGGAACTCAACTCTTTTCGATTTTCCCTCAGACAAGTCTGAGTTTTTCATGTACCATGCAACTTTTCCACACATTACCTGACCTAGATTTTCCCATGTTTTCCTTTCAGAACGATGCTATAATTGCCATCAGGCAGACGGACGACTCCCACTGGAGGACACTTCATCTACAGCCAGGTGAGTTCCAATTACCCATTCCCCAGGACCGGGGAAATGCCATATAAAACCAATTTTGTGGCCCTCGCACCTGTTGAAGTTTTTCGCACTGCCTGCGAGCAGGTTTAAAGAAGTTTCCATCACATTTCCTGGAGCAGGACTCTTTAATGCAACACGGAAATGCCGGAACGGAGCTCTGAAATTTGCCAAAAGCTCTCTTCATTTCCGCAAAAAATGCAAAGCAACGGGGAGGGGGTGGCGCAAGGTAAATAGGGAAATGGGAAATGGGAAAGTGGGGAAATGGGGAAATGGCTGAGGGACCCAGGCAAAAGCAAAAGTAAAAGTCCAAGACCAAAACGCTTTGGGGAAAAACTCCAGTCAACAGTTTGTTGCCACTGCCTGGCTTTCTCCCTCTTTCTAGTTCTTTGGCAAAAGTTTTGACAAAAATTTAATTAAATCCGTGTCAAAGTCAGGACATGGACTGAAAAATAACCGGGGGAAAGTGCGTGTGCTTCAATGTCAAAAGGGCCGCGAAAAGCAACAAGTTGCTCAGAAATGATATCTGTTTTCTAGCCAACTGAAAACTAAACAGAAATAAGCCGATTTGTGTGAAAGAAAGTTTAATTCTGCAGTCTGTAAATATTACACCACAAAGAATATGCCTGTTGCCTTGGTAATACTGGTTTGACTAAATAAATTTAAATTGCATTTACGTGCTTCCCTTGGCGTTCTCCGGCATTCAAGGCGAATCACATACGAGGGCATCATGAATAAATAAATTTTATGCGTAAAAATAATTCAATTATAGGCACCACACATGTGCGTTTGGGGATCTTTCTCCTCCCTTTCCCGACTTTCCCTTCTTTCCTTTTCAAGGGAACCTCTTTGTGGTTCCAGCCCCTTGTTATAAATAAATTGCTCGAACATTTCGGGCCTGCCGGAGTCAGTTCATTGAATTTCATTGATTTTGCTTTTGATTTATTTTTACCGAAAATAAGGAGAAAAGGCCTGATGAAAACGCTCGTATTTATGGACGTGAATCGATAGGTAAATAGGAAATATACCATTTCCCAGCTCTGAAATATTTCAAAAGTTGACTTTCATGCTTAAATTAACTTTCCGGGGCTCCAGTTCTTAACCATAAATCACTCGAGCCGCCTCAACAGGTTGCCGCAGTCAACCCCATTTTTCAAGTTGGCCAGCATTCAATTAACAATTGAATTTATATGTGTAACAGCGGAGAAAACAGTTGGAAAAGTCCCCGAAATCGATGGGCAGACATCCGAAAAATCTCTCGTTTCTCGCTGCCAGCTGCAATTAAAAGGCAATGAATTCAGATCTTTCACTCCCCCAAATCCCCCCTCTTTTCCGCCCACTTTGCGGCAGACAGGGGGCGTGGCCAGCTGTCGACTGCCTTGGAAAGTGAGGAACACTTAGGCGAAATTGTATGCCAACAGCTGGCTTTAAGCGTTGTCAGTTTCAGTTTTTTTGGGCCCCCTTTAATGTAATTTATTGATTTAAATGGTTAGGGGAATTTGCAAAATGTTCTTTTGTTTTTGATGTGCATTTTTAAAGGGCGTTTTACATATTTTTGACCAAATTATTGCCACATTTCTTGCTTAGAACTTGATTTCCCAACCCCTTTCCTTAGTGCCTAATAAAATTATGAGCATGTTAATTCTTGCCTCTCATTTAGCTGCCAATTAATAAATTTTTCGAAAATTCCAAGTCCCTTTATTTTCCATTTTCCCCCTGCTGAGTTGCCCTAGATGTGTCTGGCATATTAATGAACATTTGTTTTCTTTGCCTGAAAATGTTTGGGGGTGAACAAAATTTATGTGCTCAGGTTAAATTCCTGGGATTCTTTTTTGTCGTATTTCGGTGTTTGTAAAGTTCTGTGTTCATTTGTTAAATTAATTTATGTTTGTTGACTGTGAAATTTTTACAACATATTTTGCGTGGGCATTGAATGCAGGGGTAAAATCAACTCACTTAACCCTTTGGATAAATGGGAATTTTGTATATTTGTGACAAGAACTTAATGACAACTGTTGAGCAAGTAAAAAAAGTTGGGCAAGTCCCTTCTTAAGAAATAATTTCGTACTAAAAGCTATTAGTTTAAAACTTAATTTTATGCCACATTAAACTCGACATTTTCCACTAGCGATGCTTCCTTTTCCATTTTATTTTCCTGACCTGACCCACACGTTATCTGGAGACCAACTTGAAAAGAGGGGCTCACATACGGCCCCATAAATATTCACCCAGGACACACCCACTCCCTGAACTTTGACCCAAATTTTGGAGCTCATTTGCATAGTCCTTGGCTCCCAAAAAAACGTACTCCCTTAAAGTGAATTAAATATGAAAACTACTCAAATATTTAACTGAGCATGGAAAGTCATATGGGTGACCCTTAACCCATTCATGCCGTCCTGTGAGAAAGGCAGCCCCAAGTGGGCAATCCAACAAAACAAAGGAACTGTGCGAAACGGGTCTCTAATTGTTATATGTTTATCCGTACAGCAAACTATGACCGCATTAAGAGGCGAAGGACCTGCCCCAAATCTAGATATATATCTGTTTTTTCAGGACTTTTTGTGTGTACTATATCCCCAAAGTCCCGTTCCGAGTTGACTTTGGCCATTTTTTAATGTGCGGGGCTCGGAACTCTGCCTCCCAAAATGTATTTCACTTCATTTTTTATTTATGTGTATATGTGTGGAAGCCCCTTCCCCAAGTGGGAAAAAAAGGTTTGCGTGCCAAATTATTGTGCCAGTGGCCTAAAGTTCCCTCTTTTTTGGCCCCTTTTTTATTTCAACTGCCTCATTTGTTTCCTGCTTTTTTTTCGGCCAGTTTGGGGCAGCAGCCAAAACGGAAAGTGCGTTGTACTCTTTTCCTTTAGGCCCACATATATATTTCGGGAGCTGACTGTCCAAAAAATATCGATTTTTTGAATGTCCAACGAGGTGGATGGAAACTACAGGTGAAAGGGGAGGATTGGTGGGGTATTTAAAGGTGTAGGAACCTATGAAAAAATGTTATCTGGTTTTCAGTATAATTTGTTGTACTTAGTTTTACTACTATACCTTTTAAAATACTCTAGTTTTTTATAGTTGTATAATTCTAATTGAAATTAATTTAATCAACAATAATACACAATACCTTTCATGAAGCTCTTATTGAATAATAATTTCCAATGTGGCTTTTAGTTTCCCTTGCCCTCCAAAAGGTCTTACCTTAGATTAGTTATCCCAGTGGTTCTACTTTTAGCTTGACAGGCACCCCTCATTTTCGTGGACTTTTCCCAGCGCCGTCTTGATTTTCCACCCCATCTCCGCAGCTATAAAGATCTGGGGTCTTGAGTGCTGCAACGGCTGCTATATCATCTGAAGCTTAAGCGGATGGCCACACACTCAGGAGCATAAAGTTGCTTTTCCTGCACTTCCGGCTCTTGCCCCACTTCCCACTGACTCAACTTTATCCGGGCCATAACACGGCACAATAAAAACGAGTTAAGGATCTCTAAACCATTTTAAACATTTAGTGCACCGCAGCGTTAAAAAAGAGGAGCTGCATATAAAGATAAAATATTTCATTTGCCAGCCCCTCTTCCTTTCACCATGCTTTCTTTTTTCCAGCATTTGTAGACTTAATGCAATTGTCGCATTATTTCCCCTGCTTCTCCGGCCACTTGGCGAAACACTCTGCGAAATGATATATACCCAGCGACAGATCCTATATATATGGGTAGGAATATATATATTTTTAAATACCTCACTCGAGTGTTTTTTTTCGGTGGTTTTTCTCGGTTTTTCTCGGTTTTGCTGTATTTTGGTTTTTATTTTGCCGCATGGCGTCTCGTCTGGCGTCTGCCACGGCGTCTGCAAGCTCAGTAGAAAGGGGGAAAATAGGGGCAAATAGGGGCCAACAGGGGGAGTTTTCTGTTCCCTCGTATAAAATAATGCTGTGTGTGTGCTCGGCTCCGCTTGTTTGGCAACTGCCTCGGGTCTCTTGGTTATTAAGCCATTTTCATTCCCCTCTTTTTGTTGCAAAATCAAGCAGAGTGTTAAAAAACGAAATTAAATTAAAATTCTTGGCCAGCGGAGAGCCATATCACATGTGCGCAAAGTTTTTCGTTTTCCCAGGACAGCATTTGCACAGCTAGTAGATGAGTTTCCTTTCTATCTAAAAAGTTGTTGGTTTAAAGATTGTGCATATATAGCAAAATATTTGAAAAGAGTTCCCCTTAATATTTAACAACAATGTTCAACAAAATGGGTTTTTAAGCATCCCCTCTTGAAAGCACTACTTTGTCAGGACACATTTTGCATTTATTTCTGTCGGTTCTTTGGCAGCCACTAATTGAAAAAACTAAGACCACTCACTTTACCCTCCACTGGCCAAAAAAACTAAACACAACAAAACTCTTATTTGCCTGCCAAGCGACCAACAATTGCATTAATTATGCGTGCAGTGAAATCTTTTTGGGAGTGAAAATGCGGACGGACAACGTCGGAAAACTGCTGCCAAAAGGTGGAAAGGGGGGAAAATCGGGGTAGGGGATTGGAACACTGCACTGTGGCGACAACAGCAATTCATCTTTGATGGCGATGCCGGCAAAACTCATGAACACCCAGGCCCAGGAGACAATTTGTGCGTGCAAAATCTGGGAATTCATTTCTTTGTTTTGCCATCGCCGAGTGTTTGCCTATCCAATAAGTCTCTAGAGGAGGTCGGGAACGGGATCGGGAATGGGAATGGAAATGGGGAACCGACCAGGAGAGGCCCGGTCCCGTGAAGAGGAGCAAATGCTAATCTTGATATAAATAAACGCACTCGGGCACGTTGCTACACGGGGAGAAACAAGTTGGAAGTTATATTTCCAGAAAAATATACAAACTTATTTTTAGATCTCTAACATTTTCATTACCATCTTTAATATTTAACCAAATTAATGGTAACCAAAAATAATACAGTTTATATATGGGTTTAGTTGTTTGGTTATAATCGATCTTTGCTTAAAAATCAATTGTTCTCCTGAATTCTTATTTAGATTTAAGCTTAACAAAAATTATGATTATTGGAAATGCAATTTTTAAGAATACTGTTTTGCATATAATTCGGTGTCCTATTATCACATAATTTAGCTAGCTGATATAACGTTATTATATTGATGAGATCTAACAAACTAATTTTAAATATTAAAGATTCTTTGTTTAATATTTTTTTGAACTCTCTTACTATCTGTCAAAAACGCAAATAAATTTTATTACTTTTCTTTTATATACGGTTAGATAGTAACCATCTCTTTAAAATGAATCAAATGCAGAATCACATTTAAAGTATTTTCAAATAAGATGTTACTTAGTTTGCTACTTCAGTATTTTTTTTTCAATAAAGATTATGTAAACAAGAACAAATGTTTTTGTCTTAAATGTTGTTCCCACTTACATTTTTTCCCAGTGTAAAGGGGCTGCGAGGAGTGCATAGACGGCATCTCACGTTTTCGTCGCATTTTCAATTTGCTTGGCATTTGCCTTTTCCCTGGCCATTGTCAGTCAGATTGCCCCGCCCCCCGACGCCCCTTTTCCCGAGTAAGTGAATATTAATATTGACTTTGTGTGCTCCCCGCATAGTTCACAAAAGTTTTTCACCTTTGATTGGTCGAGTCGCCACCCAGCTTTTCAGCTTCCCGACTTGCCTGCTGTATTTCCTTACTTGCGCTGAACCCTGACCTCACCTCAAATCCACCCCAGATTCCCAGGACCCCGCGACCCCGATTGCCATTTGTGGCCTTTAAAGTCAATGGCATGCTCAGCGGTTCTTTTCGTGGAAAATTTATGTGCAAACTTTATGCGTGGCGCACAGGGTCCTTCGCTCTTCCTTTTTCTGGGGGAACTCTCGCTATTTCTATTATCAGCATTTGTTGCTGGGGATCCTCTTTCCGCTTCCACATTATTTTGCCATTTTTATGGCACTTAAGTTCAAATGAGGAACGTGGGATAAGGACACGGCACCCCGATTCGGGTGTCACTGCCTGAGAATTTTCCCAGGAAACAAGCTTGCTCACCTGAGTCAAAAAAGTAAAGCAGACTCCAACAATGTCAATATAATTAAATGAAGCTTATAAAACTGAAGAGGAGGGCGAAATTCTGGGGAGGTGGCAACTGTCCTGGGGAGCACATACAACTTTGTTGATTGGATTTTTGGTTTAGCTGCAGTCATAAACTGAATGGAAAGTAGGGGAAAAAGGCCGGGAGAAAGACAGGCCTAAATGAGATGAGCTTAGGGCTGTAATCCTTGAAAATACTGTTCTTGTGGGGTTAGAGATTAATTGATAAAAAATATGAGATGTTTTGTTAATACTATATTTTATATAGCGCGTTGAAAAGCTCTTATTTCAGGAATGTAGGAGGAAAGTTTTTAAAGTGACAATACCCAAATTATAACAATTGATCTTTATTTAATTTGTTAATAATCAACAATAATATAAAATTAAATAAAAAGCTTACTAGAATTGTATATATGTTTTAATAATAATATGGAACACTCTTAAAAACCAACGAAGGACTACCCCCTTCCGATATCCCTTGCACTTTTCGTTAGTTCCCCTGCCAGGGTTAGTTAGCCCTCATTTAATTAACCCATTAAAGGCAGCCCGCTTCGATCTCTTTGGCTTCCAGTGAAAAGCGAGCATCCAAAGTGCAGGCCACAACTTTCGACTTGTTGGCCTTTGACAGGCCCCAAAAAGCATTTCCAACAATCAACTGTACCCCCAGCCCCAAGTTTGCTTTCAAAATATTTGCCACAATGAAATCATGCCTGTTTGTGTGTGGAACCTACCCCCACCCCCCTTTCCACTTATAGGCCTCCGCCCCTGGCTCAAACACTTTTTTATGGCAAAAGTGGGGGATGGCAGGGGTTCAAAGTTGAGTTCGCTTGGCGTGCGAAAGTTTATTAAAAACTTTGTGTGCTTTTTGCAAACAAACACAAACACTCACTCACACACACAAACCAGGTTTTTCTTTTTGCCAAAAGGAAGAAAACAACAAGAGCAACTGCCATGTGAAACTTAATAATTCACACGGGAGTGAATTTTTCACAATTTTCACTTTTTCCACCGCGGGGTTGGGGCTTTTTTGCCAATTTTATTGAAGCGTAAAATATGAACCAGAACCACAAGCTGAATGAATGAATGAATGAATGAGTGAATGAAAGGATGTGGAGAAGGGGGGCGGTTCGAGTTCTCTGTGAGCTTTTAACTTTTGTTGACATTATGAAACCTCAAAAGTTTGCGTTTTGCTCTTTATTATTTGTTTTACAGCTAGTTAAGGTTATTGTTGCCAGTGTGTGTGTTTTTTAGAGGGGTAAAAATGAGTTAAGGGGGCTCTACGTCCCTGCTTCTTCTCGGTCCATTGTCTGTGCTTTGTATGCAAATCAGAGTTGCACAGACAAACACTCACAAGTGGAATTGAATGGCTGCCCCCTTCTACATTCCCGTAATTTGTTAATTACTTAATTGAGTGATGCCACTGGGCAAATATGTAATTTAAGTCGGCCATATGCGATTAGTTGAGAGTGGGGAGAATTCCAAATTTGTGGGCTACCAAAAATGTATGCTCAAACACTATTACCAGATTATCTGTACTAGGTTGGCATTTTGGTCTTGATATGTGGATGCAGCAATTTGTCTTACATTTTGAAACTTAAGCTTAAATTCAGTTTCATTTATATCAGCTGTTTTGGATCATAATTTTAGTCTCACTTGGTTTTTGCTTCGTTTAATCCGAGCTATACCATAAGGAAAATAAGTCTGTTTAATTTCTTCAATAAGAATATTAGATATTCGGATCTGTGTTTCTTAAAATATTGTGTTATTTGGTTTTGTAAGATGATTTTATATTCAGCTTAAAGTGTATTTGGGTTTTTATGTATTTCATCCAGCTTTTTGGCTGTGCAATAAGAATAATAAATATACCACTCGTTTTTCTTAAAATGTTTGATTTTTTATTGGATTAAGATGAATTTCTTTTCCATCTTTTTCTACTTTAAATTTGAAATGTATTTTTTTGTGAATTTAAACCAGAGTTCTTGGCTGCAAATTTTCATGAATATGCAGTTAGAATTCCATTATTTTTTGTTGGCTGGGGTGGCAGCTCATCATGGGCATAACTATTAGACGGTCCGACTGCATTATGCAAAACTTATAAACCATAAAATGCAGCCGACTGGGCCTAGCCCCTGGAAACCCCTCGTCCTTGCGATCCTGTCTGGTAAGTCAGCAAGTTTCGAATGCAAAGTTGTCAGCACAAAAAAAGTTAACGCCAGGAGACCTAACTCTCTCTCACTTTATTTCTCTGTCTGCGTCTCGACTTTTATGAAATATTAGCTACCAACTTATGCACATAAATCTTGCAGTGTCGTAGAGAGACTCTTTTGCCGCAAAAGTTTTTCGTGAATTTCCCAAAAAAATATAAAACCAAAGAATGAGCACCTCCCAAAAAAGGTGTGAAAAGAATGGAGCACTCGCTGAGTCCTTTTAAATATCGCATTTCAAAAATGCAAAGTATCTTCATTAAAATAAACGCTAATTTGCCTGCAAGAGCTCAAGTTACTTTGGCTGTTGGCAGTAGGAATGAGATATTCTTTGTGGTTTTTGTTGGGCATGTAAAGGTATCCTTGGAACTCTTAAATTTATATTTAAACATGATTCCACAGCACAGTATAGTTATGATTTTCTTGTTATATTACGATAATTTCATTGAATATAATTTATAAGTGGTATTATTTTAATTGATTTAAAATTTCATAGGGGATTTTTTTAAACAGTTTCCTTTCAGAGATAACGCATTGCTTTATTAATTATGCATTTACTCAATTAATGGTCATGAACAACAAAATTAATTTCCGTAATCGAACTGCTGAATTTTAACCATATGCCATTATTTATTTAAGGAAATTCTTGCAGCGCTAGCAGCTGTGATTTAAACTGTTTAAAATATTAAGCCTGGATTTTTGCTTCCTATGTTTTTTCAGAGCCTCTTCAGTTGCCAAGATGTCGGACATCAAATGGTGGTAACATCTTCGCACCGCAAACTGGTCAACAAATAATTATAGAGACGAGACGAGGTTGAGCCCACAAGAAGCAAACACAAAATGGCTGAGCACACAGGAGTGACCACAACAACAAGGCGGAGGAGGCCGTGGCGGAGTGGAGGTGGCTCCATCCCAGTGCTGCTCCTCCTCCTGGCTCTCGTGATCCTGCCCCTGGAGTCCTCCGCCTTCTGCCCCTCGAAGTGCCAGTGTCTGGGGGGCGAGGCCAACAGTAGAGCCCTGTGTGTGGACGCCGCTCTGGAGGATGTGCCCATCCAGCTGAATCCGGAGACGAAGTACATCAACCTCACGGTGAACCGGATACGCAACCTGGAGTTCTCGCTCCCCTTCTACATGAAGCTGGAGATCCTCGACCTCTCACAGAACATCATCGAAACGCTGGGCTCCAAGAACTTCGAGTACCAGTCGGAACTGAGAACCCTGAACCTGAGCAGGAATCTGGTCAGCTCCCTGCACAAGCACGCCTTCAAGGGCCTGACCAACCTGCTGCTCCTCGATCTCAGCTTCAACCGCATCGAGACGGTGCATCCCACCGCCCTCAGTGATCTGGCCGCCCTGGTGGAACTGGATCTCACGAACAACAATATCGTCAGCCTGGAAGACAACTCCTTCAAGGGCATGAACACCCTGGAGGTCCTCGTGTTCCGGAACAACCGGTTGCTCGACGTTCCGGCCAGCAATCTGTGGCATCTGCACGCCCTCAAGAGCCTCGATATGTCCCTGAACCTGGTAGAGTTTGTCCGGAACGACAGCTTCGAGGGGTTAAAGGAGCTTCTGGCCCTCAGCCTGCAGGGCAATGTGATGAGCGAACTAGACCTGAGCGCCTTCGAGGGACTCATATCCTTAAAGCATCTGGATCTTTCGGATAATAATTTAACGGTGAGCGATTTATCTAATGAGACATGTTTTTTATAAAAGCACCCTTTTTTTGAAAGTATCGATAATATCGATAGTGCCCTGTATCGATAGCGAAAATTATCGATGGTGCACGCAAGCGATGTCTTAAACTAAATATACTTTAAAACTAGTTATAATTTTTAAAACAATTTTATAAAATTGTTTAATAACAACTAAAGTTATTCCCTTACTTTTAGAAGCAACACCAACATTTTTGCGTTTAATAAATCCACTTTTGAGAAGTCTAAAAAATCACTTTTCTAAGCGAATGCTAAGTGTGAACCTACACAAGCATTTTCGCACCATGGCCACGGGGAACCAGCGTTGCTGGTCTCATAAATTTAGACACTTTGCAGGACTAAATCCTGTGAGCAACACTTTGCCAAAGCGGATTTCCCACCCTTCCCATCCTTCCCCGAAGGACCCCGTCTAAGTTCGTCCTTCCTGGAGTTTAGCTGAATTTTGCATACGCAAAATTAATAACCATAACTCGTTGTTGCTGTCCGGTGGCACACACCCATGTGAGTGTGGGGATAGACCAAGGATACACCACGCACTCGGCACCCGAGTAGTCCTTGCTGCCGGCCATGTCCTTTCTGCTATTTATGCATGCAAACATGTCCGTGTTGCCTGATTTTTGCCGCCTCCGCACTCTTTGCTTAGGCCCTCGGCCATTTGGCCAGCGTTTCTCCGGGTTTTGTTAAATGCCGCCTGCCTTTCAGCTTTGCCCACTTTCCCCCAGAACCCAAACTTATAGCCGTTTCCCAGCAACTGAGCCAGCTTAAAGCTGCTTAAAACTTTACGAGCAGACAATTGTGCAAAAATTGTGAACCTAAATTGAGCCAGGTCAAGATAAAGCCGAGGCAAAGACGTGAAATCGAAGGAAAGAAGAGCAAAATGGATGTAGTCCTGAACTCAAGTGCTTAAATTGCGAAAGAGTTGTAGATTAAGATAAAATAGAGAAAAATGTTATATATATAAATGGTATAGTAAATTCTTCACATTGCAGTTCCTTAGAAAATTGATTCGAAGTTCGAAAAATTAAAGCTAACTGGGAGACACGTAAATTGAGAATTAAAGAAAGCAAAGTAATCACTTTAAGAGTTGCTGTTTGATTTATCAACATTAAAAGATTTCATGCATTTTAAGGAAGACAAATATGAAAAACAAAAAAGATCCTCGGATTACTATAGTTTATCCCCCAAAATAACTGTCAAGGAAATCCTTTTAATTTTGGTTTCCCCATATTGGCAATCAAAACTGACCCAGGCAGTGGTTCATTTCAAGCCCTCACTTCGTCTTTAAATGGACCAAACCAAATCATTAGGACACGCAGTTTGTCTGTGAGTTTGCCACGGGAGCGGAACATTCAGTTGAGTTGTGCAAATCCCTGCTCAAAGGTGGAATTGCAAGTCCTGGTTGGTATCCCACATTCAGAGAATGGAAACGGGGATGAAAAACAGTCTCCAGAAATGCGTTTTTACGTAATCACAGATAGTCTGTGGACAGAGAGAAACATTTGGGTTAGTTTTGTGATAAATATATTTTAGAAAATAAGATTTTATGAAATAAAAAAGGGTTCTTCATATAGTATTTTGTTCTGTTAGTACAATTTCAAGACTAGAATTACCCTTGCGAAAAGATATACAATATGGTACAGGGAAGTTATTAATATTAATATAAATATATATAAATAACATCTGTTTTGTTCTATTACCATAATTCCGTTTTGGAATTTCCAAAAACAGGGTTGCCCTTGTATTAATGAAATACAAAATGGTAGAGGGAAATATTTCTATCTGTAGTTGCAGCTGCAGGACCCGTTTATGCAAACTGATGGATGCAATGCAGCCGAGTCCTGGCCTCCGGATTGCCCCCTTTCGGTCCCCCTGGCCGGGAACCCAGTCATATTCCACCTGTATATACTTTTGGTCGTTAGGAGGGGATAAAGTGTGCGTGTGTGTCCTGTCTGATGGCTAAAAAGGACTTTCTAAGCAGGTGCAGCAGCACCGGCAAAGGCAAAGGCAGCCTCGCGTAGTCAACGGCAACTGACGGTGCGGAGGAATTTATGGCGCTCGGAATCAGTTCGAAACTACTTAAAATACCTTTTGGCATTTTGTAGTTGAAATACGGTCGGTCGGTCGGTCGGTCGGTCGGTCGGTCTGCCACCCACAGCCCTTTATTCCCGGGAAGCCAAATCCCCCGCTGCAAACCTCTTCCGGTATTTTCAAATGGCATTCTTTTTGCTATTGGACAGATTGTTGTTTTATTATGCACAGAGGATATATATCCACCGTCGGACATTCTGCCCCATTTTGGCATGCGGCTAGTGCATGAAATTGTTGTCTGCATCTGCATAGTTTTCCGGAAAACCGACGGGGTCGAAGGGCAGTGTGTCTGGAGTCTGGAGGAACGTTTCGGGAAGCATGTAAAATGCAAAGGTTGAATATGATTTATGAAGTGCGTTGAGTTGCCAGTTTAAACGGGGGGATACGGGGTTTTCTCCTAACAAGGCAATATAAATATAGCTCACTCAATTTCACTACCTAGCTTAGATTTTGCCCAGCTAAACGATAAAATATATTATTACCCAACTAGTCTCTCAATTATTGTGCTCAATTGCGAACACATAAAGGAAAAATTTAAAACGAAATTATCAGTAAATGTAAATGTTTCGCACAATTGACTGATCATTCTAAAAATTCCATATTTTCTGTGCTTCCTAAAATCATTTGCATATCCCATTTTCATTTGTTCAGCTTTATTTTCCTCTCCCCTTCTTCTGCACAAACAAATTAATTTTATTTCAATAACACACGTTGAAATAACTTATGAACAATTTTATATTTTCATATTTCAACAAAAATATTGGCCGATGAATGGAGAGAGGGGGATGTGTCTGTTTGTACTTTCTGTTGTGGGTTTTGATTTTGCATTAAGTGCATAAATATACAAAAACATTATGGCACTCAACTCTCAGATTAAAAGGAATAATTGCAAAAATATTCAAAAACGAATTCGCATAAAGCTCCAATAAAAACCATATTTTCCTTTTATTTTTGTAGCGAATTTTTGTTGTATCTGAATTTATTTATTTGCATTTCCCACTCACTTTTGTTGTGTTTTGTTGCATAAATTTTGCGTACGGCTGAACAACTGCAAAATAGTTTTTCAGACTGAGAAATGTAACAGGTGTGGGTTGCAAAAACTGTAAATGTTTCAGCGTTCTTCAAATAATATTTTACTTGCCTATTGATTTACCGATTCCCCTTCCAATTTCTTGTCAATTAGCTTTCATTTTCACATTTTCAATACTTGCTTGCCATTCGCAAGTGAGAGGAAATAGGAAATTAAATTGAAAAAATCAAAGTCAATATAATTTCACTTTCTTTCCGGGTCCTGTGCAACCCTTTACTTTTTTCACAGTTTGCACTCACACCCTTTTCAACGCTGCTGTGGGTCCAGAAAATGCTGGAAAACTGGGAGCTGGAGAGGAAAAGCCTTTTAATTAGTCCAGCAGTCGCCGGTTTTCCTTTGAGTGCAGTGCCAACATGAAAACATCCATGGGGAGAAAGGAAAAAAAATGCTGGGGGGGTCGCAGTATAAATAATGGGGGCTAAAAAAGTGTTGCCATTCGGTTAAACAATTGCCCGGCTTGGCCTACATTGCGTATGCGTAATGCCTTTTAATTTTCAGCTATTTTCGCTGCCTTATGAGCTTTTGGCCAGCATTTGAATTCATTTGCCACACACTTGGTGCCCCACCCCCACCCCTCCACTCAGCTCCCCCAATTTTTCTTTATTTTTCCCGCTTTCCCGGGGCTTTCCACCCCTCCCCACCCCGAAGTTCATTACGTTATCGCGGAGTGTGTTCGTGTCCGGACGCCTGGCACGTAGCTTCCGACACGCTAGGGGAGGAAATTTCGGGGAAAGCTGGGAAAGCGAAGAAAGGAGAAAGCAGGGCGAAAGGCAGACGAATGACGAGCCAAGGGTGAGCGGAAGGTGAACACAAGTGGCAGCCAAAATTACAGCCAAAAGCTTTTGGCCCTCTCCTTCCTCCGAAAAGAAGGAAACCTCTTCTTTTATGCATGCCACACTCTCCTCGAAGCTGTCTCAGTGGTTGTAACAAATTCGTTGCAAGATTGATTTTATTGCCCCTAAAAAGGGAAAAAACACAGACGAATTTGCTGGCCAGCAAGCAAAAAAAGGAAAAACAGGGAAAAAGGGGATGTACATGACGCGCGTTTCCGTTTCCGCTGCAGTCGCTTAAGCAACGCTTTTCTATTGATTTCCCCTTTTTTCCTGTTTAGTGCTCATTTTTTCGGGTTGAAGGACAGCCTTCCCTACAAGCCACAAAACGTTTTCAAAGTTGAGTGGCCTGCATTAATATTCGATTGGCTCTAGCTGGGCCAAACTTTTCATTCTTGTTTTGAATGTTCTCTAAATGAAATGTTCCTTTTTTTATTGCAGATGGTGCCCACACAGCAGCTCTCGAAACTTTCGAACCTCACCTATCTGAACCTGGGTGGAAATCGCTTTTCCCAGCTGCCCGCCGTCGCCTTCCTCAACTTGTTTCATTTGCGCGAATTGCACTTGAGTCGACTGGACTATTTGCAGCGCATCGATTCGAGGTAAGTTCTCGCCAAAAACTTTCCCCCAACAATTCAATTCGGTGATCCCAAGTACGAGTGAAAGTGGGTCAGATGAAAACGAAACTATTTTGTTTTAGGACGAGCTAACAATAAACAAGACACCAGCGTTAGATGCTGTCAAGCTGTCGGAAAGTTTGGGATCCTTTAGGAGTTTGCAGCTAAGAACAAAGAAAGCCATTTACAACATATTGTTTTCCGCCTCCAGTCAACTATCCTCTTTGTAATTTAAGCTCCAAAAATAGGAAAGGATTTAAGTTTATTGTATTAGCTTATTATAGCAATTATTTAGCAACTAAAAAAATCATTCTTTAGGTTTTTAAAACATTCGCAATCCATTTTTGGTGGTCTTGAATGTTTGTGAGCACAATGACATTGTCCCGAGTATGACTTATTAGGGCAGCAATAAGATATTTTTCGGTGCCCTTAAAGATTTGTTTTGTGCCTATTACAGAACCAGGTGTTTCATAGGGTGCATACATTAATTGATCAGGTTTCTCGATACAGAACTGATCTCGTTCTACAGGTAATTTAGTTTTCGCGGAGCAATCATCGATTACCTTCAGATCCACACTTTGAACGCCCAACACATTAGCATCGAGACCATATAGGTAGGCGTTCCACGTCCTCGGAGGACTCAAATTCAGGCCCATGCAGATCGGTGTTTCGAGATCTTGAAGTAAAATATTTGATTTTGAAGGTATTACGACAAAGTTCTCGGAAACACTTATTACCTGATTTTGGCAGTTTCCTACTTAGCTTAATCACAGCTATATTATTCTTTATAGATGGATAAGCTGTGAATTCGGGGTGCAGGTAAAACCAATCCACTTCATACATATACGAGTATTTGGATTCTACTTTCCTGCGTGCAACAAAAGTAGAGAAATGTAGTAAAATTAGTTTTAGAGCACTAACCCCTGTAAAAGTTACTTACATTCCATTGAATTTTTCTGGAAAAGCACTTGCAACAGTCAGGACGAATTCTTGTAAATGTAATTACTCAGTAATCTCATATTAAGCTCATATTAATTTTATAGATTCTACTTACGATTTGTGATTAGGGCTCCAGCGAAATTGTGCTCAAACAGTGACATCTCCCATAGGCGGACGAGAACGTTACCACCCCAATCACTTTTGCAGTTCTCAGTCAGAAGCCTCTGTTCGGGTTCCAGCACGGTATTGGCTATCCATAGTTTGAACCTATTCACATCTGTATAGACGCCCCAGTCGCTCTTGTCCGGATCTCCGTGGCTTACTACACCATACTGAACGAACCTAGCTCTACCCCGGTACGGGGTGCTCGCTGCCAGGGGGCCTCCTGAATCGCCTCTTGAGGTGTCCTTCGAGTTACCGCCCGCGCAAATATTGGACATCGGGCATTCCAATCGGTTGAGAGTGACGGTTTTCAGCACTCTACTAAACGTTTCGTTCTCCGTTATTCCCCATCCGTAGGCCGAAAAGGTATTGATTGGATCTGATGTTACCTCCTCATCCAAGATAATGCAAATCGGATAAATGTTATCTGAAGTCAGATAAATATAATCGGAGATGTGTAATGGGAGATAAGGGATTTCACTTTCAAAAGTTTGAAGTCACCCGGAAATTGAGAAGCTATTAGTTTCCCTTTCTCTGAAAATTGCTAAATACTGCTTTGTTTTTATTGTAAGCACTAACAAAATTGCATGATCTCATCACATTTAGTAATACCTTCATATTTTGAATACTTTTTGAGCACTGCAAGGCATTTGAACTTAAACTTTCATAAGCTTACCTTTAAAAATCACATCACGGTCCAGTTTCAGCAGAGCTATATCATCATCAACGACAGGTGGTTGAAAACCGGGATGACTGATAATTTCAACATTGCGATACTGGACGTGTGGGCAATTCGGTTTCGAGCACGATCGGTCAATCATTCCCAAGTATACGGTTCTAATGAAGTTTGCACATTAATCTAGACGTAATCCTAACAACTTCAGAGTGGTACTTACACATTTTTATAATCAGTAAAACAGTGTGCAGCCGATAAAATGTAACCTTAGAAAAGAATAATTTAATACACATTTATAAGTTTAAATATCCTTTCCTCACGGTTGTGTATAAGGGTTCCACCACACAGAAAGTCAGTACCATAGTAAATGGCTGCCATAAATGGAGCAGTATCCACGAATCTACCTCCTCTTATTCTATATACCAACTGCCGTGGGCCACCACATGCATCATCCAGAAGCTGAGAAAACCCATCCTGAAAGAGAAGCACTGCGATAAGAAATAACGAGACGTAGCCGCACATCGTTTCCCATCAACTAGTAATCACTGACTAAGTTGCTATTAGGGACCCGAAAGAATCCGAGGAGAGCACGAAAGCTTTTACCTCTCCGTTCTACTCTCATGTGCAAGATCTTCTAAGCTTCTCATGCAAACAAAACTGATCTACTTAAGACTGATTATTGAAAAGTCGAAAATTGAACACGCATCCGGCTCATTTATTCAGTAAAATTTTCATCAGAGTGCTTGTTGAGTATAATCATTATAATAAGCAGTAATCAACCTTTCAACTCATCCGTAATCCATTTTTGGTGGTCTTGAATGTTTGTAAGCACAATGACATTACCCTGAGTATGGCTTATTAAGGCAGCAATAAGATATTTTTCGGTGCCCCTAAAGGTTTGTTTTGTCCCTATTACAGAACCAGGTGTTTCATAAGGTGCATACATTAATTGATCAGGTTTCTCAACACAGAACTGATCCCGTTCTACGGGCAGCTTAATTTTGGTGGAGCAATTATCGATTCCCTCCAGATCCACACTTTTAGTGCCCAAAAAACTAGCGTCGAGACTATAGAGGTAGGCGTTCCACGTCTTCGGAGGACTCAAATTCAGACCCATGCAGATCGGTGCTTCGAGATCTTTAACTGAAGAAGTTTGTTATTTTAGTGAAGAGCTCACTTTTATATTTTTATTTTATACCTGATATTGGCAGTTTCCTATCCAGCTTTATCACAGCTATATTATTCTGTATTGGTGAAGATGTGAAGCTGGGATGTATGTGAAACCATTCTATATCATAGGTGTTAAGATATTTAGATTCCACTGTTCTGCACAACACAATTACAGAAAAATACATTAAAATTTATTAGGGAAATGGAAATACATTGTGAAAGCTGGAACTTACATTTTAGTGATATTTGAGGGGAAAGCACTGGCAACAGTCAGGACAAACTCTTTTTAATTTAAGAAGTTAAAAGTCAGAGATCTAATGATATTGGGTTACTAGTTCTACTTACGTGTTGTGATTAGGGCGCCAGCAAAATTGTGCTCAAACAGTGACATCTCCCATAGGCGGACGAGAACATTACCACCCCAATCACTTTTGCATTTCTCAGTCAAAAGCCTCTTTTCGGTTTCCAGCACCGTATTGGCTATCCATAATCTGTACGTATTGACATCTGTATAGACGCCTTTGCCGTCGCAATAAGTGCTACCGTAGCTTAGTACCCCGTACTGGACGTACAAGTCTCTTCCCCGATATGTGGTATTCGATCCTAACGGACCTCCAGAGTCCCCACCACAGGTATCGCCCAAGTCGCTGCCAGCACAAATTTTGTTGAGGCTTACATAACATTGGTCTGGGGGCAATCGGTAAAGATCGACTGTTTTCAGTACTTGGCTTGAAACATTATGTTCCGTTGCACCCCAGCCGAAGGCCGAAAATTTGTACACCTCATCTGAAGTTACGTCCTCATCCAAAATGATGCAAACCGGCCGGATATTTTCTGCAAACGCATAATGAATTTCATTTATGAGTTGTTTCTTACACAATTATCTTACCATTGTAAGTTACTTCACGGTCCAGTCTCAACAGAGCCATATCATCAAAGAGGATATTGTTCTTAAACCCGGGGTGCATTATAATCTGGGCAGTGTAACGCTGCACATGTGGGCACTTCGCTGGCGAACATGATCGGTCATGTTCTCCCAAGCGGAGGGTCCTATGACAGTTGGAAAAACAATCTATACTTCGTCTAGAGAACGTCAAATTTGTACTTACACCTCTTTCAGTCCATATACACAGTGAGCAGCTGTAAGAACGTGTCCTGAAAAAAATTAGTTAATATAAATCCCCAATTTGAATTCTGCTTTCCTTACTTTTGTGTATGAGCGATCCGCCGCACAAAAGTTCGGTACCATTGTATAGACTAGCCATAAACGGAGCGGTATTTATTGGGGCAATCCTCCCTCCTGCTATTCTAAAAGTTATCATTTTCGGACCACCGCAATTATCGTCGAGAAGCTGCGAGTGCCCATCTTGAAAGAGCACCAAAGCGATAAGGACTAACGAAGCGAAGCCACACATCGTTTCCCTTCCACTGATAATCACTGACTAAGTTGATAGAGCCCTGTTCTCCTCCTAAAAACTGAATTGACTAGAACACACGAAAGCTTTTACCAATCACTTAGTTCATTTATAATAACGTAAACCATTATATTCAGCACAAGAACATACGTATTTTAAATGAGAGAGAGAGAGATCTTAAAAACTGGGCACTTGATAAGACTCATCTCTGGGAACCTCAAAAGCGAAAACTTAAGAAAAACTGATTATCTGCCTTATTTTTTTCAGAACGATTATAGAACTCATCATAAAGACTACGAAAAAGACCTTAAGCGGATTTATTTAATGTTTATATAAGTTATTCGATATAATTCCATGTTTTCTTAGAAAAGGTTCAAAAAATTACCAATTCTATGTTTGATTGTGTGTGATTGTATTCAAGTTTAGATGATATGCTTATAAGCAGTACATTTTTTGTATTGTTAGTGACTACATAAACGTCTAAGTCCGAGGTTTGAATCAATTTTGGTGAATTAATTTCCCCGTGTACTCAGCTGCGGAACTAAGCGGCAGACAAATCATTATTGCTCAATGCAATCAATCATGCCTAATACGCTTTTGGTAATGGGATGCCACCACATACAAGCCCTCTCAACGAAAGGGGCGGCCCGATGAGGGGGCGTGGCAGGGGAAATGCCTGGGCTCAACTCGAGCATATGTTAATTCAATAATTCCGGGCAATTTTCATATCAAATCAATGAGCGAGTCTCGTCGACGACTCGTCTTCCTTTGAGTTGAGGCCACGTCAATCAACCACCGCCAGTGGAAGAGGTAGCTCTGTGCTCCTATGTGGCAGATATATATCCAGCCACATGCCACGCCCCCTGGGCGACATGCCGCCTTACAATGACATTAACATGACTTACATGACAAGCGATGAGAGGGGGCTTCGGGGGCTGGGGTTCCCCCGGAGGAAAGGGAAAGCAGACAGCATCGTATGCCATTTAAATGAGTTTAATTTGGAATTTTCGTTTGATTTTCTTGGCCCAAGTTTGGCTGAGGCTTATCCACCGCCCACCGCCCAGCACCACCCCCAGTTGCCGCTTTCCATTTCGCCCACTTTCCATCCACTACCCCGTTTTTTGGCCTTTGTAATTGCTTTTGCTTTTGTTCGGCTTTTGTTTGGCCCCTGTCTCAGTCTTGTGCAAACTTTTCCCTCCACATTGTTTGCAGACTGTTGAAATTGTTGCTCAATCTGCACAAACACATTTACATATGGCCCTGCTTATACATACTACATGGTGTGTCTGTCTGCGTTGACTGATTTGCAAACTCAATTCCTGTTTGCCTCGTCTGACTGACTGACGGAACAAAAGATGACTGCAATCCGCTGGATACCGCTTTCTTATGCTAATTCTCTACTATTTTAGTGTGCCTGCCGAAATGGAATAATTTGCGGGGGATATTTAGAAACTATCAAAAAAGGATACACTACAAAATTACTCAAGAACTTATATTGTTTTGGAATTTCTGGGTTGGTAACGTTTTAAAACTAGAGTTATATAAGGCTTAAAAGTAGGTTTACAATTTATGATTTTCCTTTAAAGATTTATTTAAAAACGATAAAAAGTGTATATTTTAATCCTATAAAAAGAGGCTACATAATATTTACTACTAACCAAAGGTAACTAAAGTCTTCAAAGGTATTCCATGTTATCCTTTTATTTTTCCACGCTGATAATGATATGCATGTGTATTTTTTTAGTTGATAGAGAGGAGTATGTGAATGCAAATTATTAAAGGGGTTGCCAGACAAATTGTTACCTTACCCCCACCAATTTACCCTCAAGGAAAAGCCAAAACATTCTAAATTTAAGAGAGATAGACAGAGGAACCCCCAAAGACAGAGATAGAGAGACAGACATACATGTAAATATTTATGCAAATGCGTTAATGGAAATCTGAAATGTGGACAGGTTGGCGAAGGAAAGGGAAAATGGGAAAGGAAAAGGACTCCCAGCGATGGCGACACGTTTATAGTCGAGGTTGTGGGGCGACAGGATACATTTCCCAAAAAGACCGTGTGTGCTTTCCCTTTCCCCGTTCCCAAAAACCCTCGAATCGCTGCTCATTATGGAATCCTTACACCTAAACAATCAGCGCGAGTCCTTGCAAAATTCATTAGGCAGCAGCACGTTGTCCACCCACTTTCACCGCCTTTCACCCCTTTCACCCCCTTTCGCAAAGCAAACAACCCTCAGAAACAGGAGTTTCAGGATTTCAAAGGGAATGCGAAAGTGAACACGACTTAATAGCAGAAAGTCATTCGGGAAAAAGGACGGTAGGTGTTGCCCGGTTTATTGGGTTGTGGATTTCAAAATTGAAACTAATTGTTTTAAAATTTACGCGGAGGGGGTTCGGGGGGTCATGTGTGACATTTGTTTTGTGGCTGCTTTGGGGTTGCTGCCCCTCATTTTTGGGGCCTTGACTGCGCTCGGAATTCTGATGAGGATGGATGCCACAGTTGAATGCGACAATTGGGAATTAAATTCGAGTGTAATGGACTGTGCTCTCTGTAATGGGCTAGAAATAAGGTCTTTGAAGGGATAAAGGATTAAGGACATGGGTCACGATTTAGGGAAACTTCTTCTCATTATGCCGTCATATTTTAAAACAGAAGGGGAAGCAAATACACAAACGACAATACACTATAAATAATATTAAGAGGTGTTTGTTCGTTGACCTGCATAAATATACATAATTTATTTCCCCAAGCAGCTTCAATCATCTTCTTCATTAGCTACTTTTCTGCATCTCATAATGTTTTCCGTCTAATTTCTGGGTAATTGCCACTCGTCTTGTTTTTCATTTAAGCGGAATCACTTAAAAAACACTGCTAATTAAGTTGGTTACTCTGGAGCTGGAGCTCCCACCCACCTTTTAGCCATTATCGTTCTCACCTGTAGCGAGTGCTGGCTCATTATGCAGAAGTTTATGTTTATTTGAATTCAAATTCTCGCCGTTTTGGCGTGGCCAATTCGAGTGCACCAGTGGGTTAAGGGGGTGGAACATGCATATGCATAAACAGACTGGCTTAGACGTCCTTCTCTGGATGGTAAATACGCATAATAGCTACTCGGGTCTTGGGCTGCCGCCTTGAAATACTTCGCAGCTCATAATTTATGGAGAAATATGGCTGGGGTCGCAACATGTTTATGTTTTCCTGTTTCCGTAATTTCTTCCTGCCTTCGTTTCTTCGTCTTTTCTCCGGCTTTCTGTTGTTTGCACTTTTTTGTTAGCACACTCAGTGTCCCTGGGAAAATATGCAATGCATACTTTTGCTCACAAAAGTCCCAACTTTTTGACTCGTCCCTCTGTTTGTATTTACCCGGCCCTTGTTTATAGAGATTCTCCCTCTTTTGTTGGCTCATTAGGCTGACATATTTCTTATCAACGTTCCGTTTAATCAGGGCAGTGCAAAATGCAAAAAAGGGAACTCCTGCAAATGGCAGTCATTGACTTTGCGGTTGATAATCGCATTGAGAGCTCCATTTAATGGCCACTCGTTGACCTCTTGTCTTTCAATGGGAAACATGGCAAATGTCGCCGGCAATAAAAGCCAACCGGGGAATATCCCAGTGTGTGGGCCATAAATGTCCTCGTTTGATGTACGAGCTTAATTAGCTCTCCACACATTTTTCTATGTGACATAATTAGATAACATATTCATAAGGCGGAAAAAACACTGACAAATTGCCATCATTAGCAGGCAGAGAAGCTTTAAGGCTCAGTGGTTTTTTACGGGATTACGTGCATTGAAATCATTGGTAATTTAATAATACATGAATGAATAATATTTATAGTGAATGAGTAGTGTTCTGAAAAAGTTAAACAAATATTTATACTGCTAGTAAAAAATATTGCTTTGTTCTAAATGTACTTCCTATAAGGAAGGTACCTAAATAAAATTTAAATATTTTCCCTGAACTTGTTGACCAAGACATATTGTTTGCAAATAAACTACAATTATGTTAAATAAAAGGGGCGAAAGGGGAACCTGTTTAATAATTTTCTATGCAGCACTTCCTTGTTACAACGCCCACTTGAGTATCGCATGGGTGGAAAAGAAAGGACCTTATGGGGCGTATACGTAATTTAAAAACGTTTAAAATGTCATTAACAAATTGCGCGGCCATACCGTTTGATAATGTGTCTCCAAGCATGAGTTGATTATCGGTTCGGGATAGGATAGCAAGGTATTTCAATAGGTAGGACCCACTGTCGGCGAGCTCAATGAACCCAGGAGTTGGGATCCTCCGAGCTTATCGAGTGCCTATCCTTTCACATTTTGATGTAGTTAAAACGTCAATCAAGTGAATAGAGAGAACAGGGGATTTGCGGGGTCGGGCGACCGAGGGATTGACTGCCATTCAAAACTATATCAAAAAGGGAATGACTGACTGACAAACTGTTTGACAGACTGCCTGATTGACTGGTCAGGCACACAGACACACATCCCGGCAACGAGCTGACGATGTGACTGAACTCTGATTCCCTGTAAAGTCCTGGGAGTCGTGACTGAACCCAGCGAAGATGGACAGCAAACATTTCAATCGGATTTCGAGCAATTCCAATTCAGATTCGCACAGACACACGCACACACACGAGCAATTTGCATAAAAGGGAAAAAGAAGGATCGGAACAAGGCAAACATTTATGCCTCACACACACACACATGCACTCACACATGGCAGCCATTTCCGTTTCCGCACGTTTGACGTTGGCAAACGCAGACAAAATAGTCGAGAAAAAAGGAAGCCCAAAGTTCGGGGAGGTGGAAGCCCCCGTCGAAAACATGGAACATGCAAAATGAAGTTTGAACCGCGGGAAACAGACCCGAAACCAAAGCCAAACAGGGAAAAGGTGGATCCTTCCCGCACCCTTTCCCGCCATTTTGTTTGTCCTGTCACTTGGTTTTTTAGGCAGTTGCATTTTCGGGGATAGGTAACAACAACAGGTCGATGAGGTAAAATCATCAACCTGTGGAGTTCCGGGGCCCCCAAAGAGTGCCTTAGATGTCACGTTCGCCTTCCCCGGGATATTTGCATAATATTTGCACAAATAATTGAATTTATTTTTTGCTCGTGCGGCTTGTGCGCTACCCGCTAAATTGTTTTGGGTAAATTTCGGCTTATGTCGTATGCAGACAGAGTTTGTTTTGGTAATGCAAAGACCCATTTTTTCCACGCTGATCGCCTGCAATTGAGGTTTTTCCAAAGTTTTTTCATACCGTAGTTAAATGTTAAACTTGCCATGAAATTGAATGTGCAAGAGGTGGAAAGATAGTTGTGGAGTTCAGGTAAATAGGGTTGCGAATTGGTGGGAATTGAATGGGCCTGATAAGTGTGTCTGGCTGGGTCTATAGATTTCGAAGATTTAGCAGGGGTAAAGTGGGTGTGTTAGGGATTATTCTGGGAAGTTGACAAAGTGTCTGAGTATCTTATGAACTTATAGGACAAGCAACCAAAAACATCTTTAATTACTCAAATATTTTCTATGGCCATATGGCTATTTTAATAAGCCATAGATACCTAATAAATAAAGAAAAGATATATTTATATTTTAACTAGTGTCACGTAGCCATAAGTAGATTTCCAACATTGAAACTGAAACCTAAAAAACATCTTAAAAATCCGAGTTTTGTTCAATAAGAAATATCTATTAAATTCAATAAATATAAGTCATATTTATTATCAATAGATCAATGGTTTGCTGAGATTCCCGCTGTGAAGGACAAGCCCTAAGTCCCCCAGGACATCAGTCAACCTAATGAATCCACCCTTTAGAGCTGACAAACAGTTTTCGTTCTCATTGCCACTGCCATTCGAATTCATCACCCGTTGCAGTCGAATGAGTTCGCAGCAAACTTATGGCCTCGAAGGATTTTACAAAATGTGGCCACTTGTCAAATCAATGTGGCTCCTTGGGAGCTCGGGAAAGGCAACTGCAACTGCAAACTGCAGCTTGTGAAATAAATGCGTTCATTTGACATGGACTGCAAGACGCAAGCTGTAAGCTGCAAGTATTGAAATGAAATGTGGCCTTCTGCGGGACGCTTAAAAGCGACAAATTCGCTTTGTGTCAGCGGAGTAAGTCAAGTCGGCGAATGTTGCTCACACGCCACGTTGCACTTATTTCGTTTCATTCAGCTGCAGCCACATCTGAGGCTGTCTGCCAGTATCTGGAGGTCTTAGGTACCGGGTAATGCACTGCTCCACTCAGCACACACACATCCTCGGGTCCCAGACTCCCTGCATCCCTGCATCCTGGCAGCCCTGCATCCTTCGTCCTTTCCTCCGAGTCGGCGACTTAGCGCGTTGACTTAACTTGGCAGGGATTTACGACAACGCTCCACGGAGCTCGAATAACATGGAGCCTTGTCAGCCTCGTCCTTCGTCCTTCGTGCTTCGTACTCCCCCCCATCCATCCACCTCCTCTTTTATTAAGTTGAAATAGACGCAGGCTAAATAAATCCATGTCGCTTAAGTCGAAGCTCCGGAGCTGTCATGTGAGTGCGACTGTGTGTGTGTCGCCGGAAAATGCCGGGAAAACTGCTGAGCGTATGTATGTTATTCATGTATTTCATTGCCTGGCATTTAAGTTGAACGCTGATGCATCGTGCAGTGTGCATAATTAAAACGAACAGTGCACTGCAGCCGGGAAAAACAGTAAAAAAGGCAGGACGAATGGCGCAGAAAGATAGTCTGTCGGGCTAATTAAAGTCGTCACTAGGGGAGTTTTCCTCAGCACTCCTTAATTAGGAAAAATAAATAAAATACTAAAATAAATTTTGAATTTATGTAACACATGTGCTATGTATATATTCTAAAAAGAGTTAAATTCGTCAGGGAACCACAGAGTTACATAGCGTCTTGGACACAGCCTTCACTTTTAAGGAGCAATTTCCTCGACTGCATGTTAAGCCAAAAGTACGTTTTAAGCTCTAACATCAAGTTGAAGAACACGTAAAATGGTATTGGGAAACTATATTTTCCATATCAGCAATTTAACTCAATTACAAAAGTTGACATGAGATTGAGAAATGAGTTCAAGTAGCGAGCCACCTTTTTTTGGATTATCATGCGGACGAGAACACGGTAAATTTGGTAAATTTTGGCTGCGAAACAAGTTGATGAGCAGACTGGTATAATCTTTAGGAATCATTTTAGTAAGTGGATTGGGTAGTAAGCTTAAATCAGTTTAATCAAAGTCTCAGGGCAAGTGATGTTGATAAACCTATATATACAGTACTCTAAACTGTTTCCCATTAATTGAAATACTTCCTGTTTTGCATCTTTTCAGAGCCTTTGTGGACAACACCCACCTGCAGACGCTGCACCTGAACAACAATCCCCAGCTGGGCGACATACCGATGCGCCTGTTCCAGGGCAATCCCAACATCCTAGAGGTCTACATGCAGAGCAACAGCCTGCAGACCCTGTACTCCGCCCAGTTCCCGGTGGACCAGCTGCAGAAGCTCTATCTGGGGGACAACCCGCTGCAGTGCAACTGCTCACTGCTGTGGCTCTGGCGATTGGTGACCGGGAACTTCGAGGGAGTGGACCCGGGAATGGAGCACGCAGCCGGCGGAGCAGTGGCCGCCCTGGCCAAGGAGGCGGATGACGAGGAGGAGCAGGCGGATGAGGCAACCGCCGTGGCCTCCACCGACGACGGGGTAGCGGCTCTGGCTGCCTACATAGCCGAGCAGCACATAGTGAATGCCCTGCACACCACCGAGCCCAGTGCCTACGAGCTGGCCACCTCCTCCTCCAACAGGAACTCGGGCATCCTGCGGATGGACCGCCAGCAGATCGGCTGCGACATCTGGCGGGACAAGGTCAGGACGAGGCGGCAACTGCTCGCCATGAGCGAGGGCGAGATCACCTGCCCCGCCCATATTGTGACCGTGGTCTGCGCGGTGATCACCTGCCTCCTGGTAACCATGATCGGGGTCAGTGTGCTCTACTACCTGCGGTTCGTGAAGCGTCGGAGGAAGCTGCTCCACGAAAGGGGTCCTTTGAGGACCAGCAAGAGCATCATCAACGTGCACGATCGCATTCTGCAGGGTCACAATGCCGGCCTGGGAATGGGCATGAGCATGACCCTGGGCGGCGGCAACCACGTCAATGGATTGGGAATGACCCTCAACTACCCCCATCACGCCCAGACCCTGCAGGCCCACCACCACTACCACCAGGCCATGCCCTTGCAGGGGTCCCATGGTAACAACCATGACTACCAGCAGACGACTCTGCCCCAACTGGACAAGCTGGAACTGGAGCGCTACCTGGCGGCCCAGACCATAGCCAATGAGTACCGGGCCTTGAAACCCTGGGAACTGCCCGTCAAGGAGGCGGATGACGAGCCGGAGCATCTGTACGAGCGGTTCGACCACTACGAGTATCCGGACACCCACACCATGAGCAAGCTGAAGCAGGCGGCGGCCTTGAACCACTCCACCACCACCTCCTCCGGCGGCCCCTCCCCCGTGCCCCCCTCCTCGGGAAAGCCACACGTGGTCTACGTATGACGTGGGCGTGGCAAGGGCGAACGGGTGTCCCACATGGGTACGGATATCGAGATGGTCGGACTGAACCACCATGGTTACCCCAACCACAATAACAATAACAACTACAGGGGCTGTGTACAGAGCGCCAAGGCCAGTGGTCAGTTCTGAACGGGCTAAATCGAGGGGGTTTACTCAAGCAAAAACAGGGAAAGTGAGAGGTTAGGCTAAGACGAGATTAAGGGAGGATAGACCCACTAAAAATTGGACCTTTGGGGGTGAATTTCGATGAGTTAGTATTTGAAATCTTATTTAAGAGCTTTCAGTCAGATAAAGATAAATGACAACCGTTAACATGACATTGAGATAACGGTCCTAACTAGCAATTTATTTTAACGCTCTGAAATCGCAATTCTTGACTGGTGTCAGATTTTGTGAATAAAACCTAGATTGGATTAGGACTAAAATGAATTATGACTTTATGAACAACATTTAAGGCCAATCAAGTATCACTGAATTATTTTATAAAGAAAGCAAACTGCTCACTCATCGAAATTCTCTGCTAAAACACCATCATAGTGATTTAGGTTGGATTATTTTTTTTCGACTAAAATACAACAAAGTTTAACAAGCGTCAAATGAAACAAGGGATATGTCTACGTGTATAGCAAGCATACAAATATTCTTAATGACCTACGGATAACAGATAACAGATATATTAGATATGTACACTAACCGCTAGACTAAGAAACGAATACGATTTCAAAGAAACCTTTTTGCTGGCCCCCGACTAAGCTAAGCTGCATTAAAAATCTCAAATCACTATCTTTCTCTCCCACTCATAGTTAAAATGGCATTTAGCATTCGAATACTCTAGATAGCATTTAGTGAGTAAGCTTACAAGTGAATTTAAATATATATATGAGTATATATTAGGTTTAACTATGGAGGGTTATGGGTTTTCCTGATTTGTTTCTCGAAATTACCGAATATGTCTTCAGCACTTGGGTTATATTTGGAAAAGACACAGACTTTGGCAGACAAATAACCTAATGGGGACCAAATAGTCCAGTCCAGCCTAGAACTAACTGAATGAATCCAGCTGCCAAAGAGGTCCTTTTCCCATCCATTGGCCCGCTGAACCGTATTCCCAACCATAATTCCTAACTTTAGCAAAAACATCTCGAATGACAATATACAAAAATTAAGAGGAAAACTAAAACATTAAATTATATGAAACACCTATACTAACTTATATGTATCTTAGTGAGCCCGAACTCAAAGTTGACGAAACGATAAATATAATTTGTAAATATATATATCCCCCTATGATGGAGCACTCTGCGAAGTGCTTCTGCGTTTATGTGTAAATAATTTATGGAATGCATTTAAAAACATTAGTCAAGTGCATAGATTATTGATTTAAGAATAAATGATTTCCAAAAGCAATAACTCAGAATCAAAGCTCGTTTGTTTTTTCGGTTGAGTTTGATTTGCGAATAATAATTTAATTAAATGCGACAACAGCATGGCAAATAGCGAATGGCAAAACTAGCCGGTATTTGCATAAAATAGCCACACAGAGCACACAAAAAGCGAGTGTAAAAATATTTCGAAAATAAAAGTATACTAAATAAGCAAAATCAAAAGGCAGACAAGCAATGCAGTGCACACGAAATGCATTTAGGAAAGCTGAAAAAACAGAAAATAAACTCTGAACATAAATATAAAAACCGGTTTGTGTATAAAAGGAGCAAAAACTAGAGCAAGGGAAAGGCAAATAGAAGCCAGGCAACCGTAAGTTTAAATCTAATAATATGATATACGCAAAATATTTAATTAAATGATAGACACACCCACAGCAACAACAAAAAATGTTATTTCTTATACGAAGACTGAAGAAAATGATGATGGAAAATAAAAGAAACATGAAATTAAAAACGCTTTTTCACTCTAATCAACTGCAAATGAAGGCAACAAAGTGCCAACAGAACCAGCAAATTTGTGTGCAGCCCGTAATAAATTAAGGATTTACCTAGATGAACTCGCTCTTTGTTTCCTTTGCTTTTTTCCCCATCAACTGGTAAAATACGACAAATCTGCTGGGCAGCAAACGAAGCAAAGCTGAAATCCATGTAAAACAAATAAAATACTTGTACATCCTGGCAGAGGGAGTGGCCCCAGTGCACTGGGACCGAATTTGCTGGAGAAATAGCATAAATCTAGTGCCGAAACAAGTGCTCGACAAACACACCGCCCACATAAGTAAGTAACCCAAAACGCCTACAGCAGGAAGAGGCAAAAAAATAGCAAATATGTGGCTCAGTAAACCAAAGTAAGTAAAATATTTACTGCCCAGTCAATTGTGCTGGATTGTTGGCCTCCACTAAAGCTGTTAAATTCAGTTGAAGGGATACAGTTTGAGCAGCATCTCAGGAAAATTCAAGTCCTGAGAAAAAAAAAGTTGTGGAAAATGCAATTCCTGGAATTTGCAAGCTCTAGAAATGCAAAAACATCTAATGCTAGTTCAATGAACTGCGGAATTAAAAGGCAGGTAAACTAGCGAGTTTTCAGAAGATGCTTTTTCATTATGTGATAAGTATCACATCATCCCGATGAGTATCCTAAGAATGAAACTAGCTATCTATTAATTCTTTATATTTTTATGTAGAAAATAATAGTTGGAAGGTAATGTTATATCTAAACACTATTTAATCTTAAAGTTTCCTGATTTAATAAATTAGTTTTATTTACAACCATTTGCTGCAGTTCTAGCCGTACCATAGTTACCCCTGTGATAAAACAATGGCCAACCCACCTGCAAGAACAAATAAAAAATGTGGAACAACAGGGTGGCAAACAAAAAGAGAAACAAAAGGACAAAAGAATTAGGTAAATAAATCTGAATGCTTTCTAAATAATTAACATGGATGGAGCTCACTTTCATTTAAACTGGGTCCCCGCCACTCATTGAGTTGTTCAACTCAACGCGCGGCTTAGAAGGCGACAAATCCCCCGTGTCTGCGTTTGAATGATTGTGGGGCATTTGTTGTGGGATGAAATATAGCCGGGCAACAACCACCGAACCACCGAACTGAAACTCCCGCCCACCTGAAAGTCCCTTGGAATAAAGAAACACCTGAGTCTGCGTCTCGAGAGCCTCCCAGATGTAGGCGTGTAAATAATGGCAAGTAATTAATATTTCGACATTATTCTTCTGAAGAAGGCAAGGAAGCTACATTGTACGCTCTCTGGTTTAATTAGCTCGGAAAATGTTTCGGAAAAACTTGCGCATAAGTCATAAAGTGCAGGAAATCGAAGAATGAGTGGGTTCCATTAAATGCAGCTAGCCATCTGAATAGCGATTTCGGTGGCATTTTAATTGCCCGGGCGAAATGAAATTTCCTTATAAAGATATAGAGAAGCCATTAAGATCCAGAGATAAACACTCGACACAACGCGGCCAAGTGCCTGCGAACATAAAAACTTAATGTCCTGCAATTTGTTAAAAGATGCGCAAACTGCCCAATAAAATGTCCCTGAGACGATGGTGGCTTTAATGTGATTGAAAAGAGTGTGGGTGAGTGGCCAAAATCGGGAACCCACTTCAGCTAATTGTTTGCGTGGTGCATTTTGAGAATGCGGGTCCAACAGCTGTTTATACACAGGACACTTTGTTTGCACTTTGGGACAAGGAGAATTGCTCAAATAATGGTCGAGACACAAACGTGTGGGCAAATAACTCATGCACCATGATAAATCAAAGTCACTTAGCGTTGATGTCGATTTGAAATTCACTTACAGCCCAGAATGCACAATGTCAAAGGACTGACCAAACAGAGGTCCTGCGAAAAAGAGGACATATCATTTATATCCATTTAAATAACGACCTTTCAATGGCCTGAAAAGTCCAGTAAAAAGCTGAGGGAAATGCTTAGATGGATGGTCGGACGAGGCATTGACAGTTGTAAGCCATAAACCACAGAAAATTGGGCATTATATTAGTTAAGATGCTGTCAAGCCGAAGATATCCCGTTCTCGAGGGCAAGACACATCGCTTTCAGCACGGGCATAAAGCGGGGATAAAAAGGGGCGAGTCTAGGAGATAATCGGGCAGACACAGGAGTATCCCGTAACCGGCACTAAAACTCCGTTTGACAGGCAACGAAAGCCGGGAACCGCAAATCCTGGAACAGGAATCCCCAACATTGAATCCTCAGACAGAGGAAACTGACCACCAGATAAGCAAACGCATTCATCTTACAGAATAACGAAGGGAAAAAGGGGAAATGCTAACCTGTATAGTCAAAGAAATCCGCACAAAAGTTAAACAAAAGTTGGGCACACATATTAAGGGGCTTAAAGTGCAGAGACCAAAACCTAAAACAAGGAACTTATCTTGACAGCTGGACTGTGCACTTAACCAGGTTACCCCGCAAAATACACCTATATATCTTGATCAATTTGGCCAGCCAAAGGGAGGAAAAAGAAAACTTAAATCATAGCCAGCTTTGTTCGGTTTTGCAACCTGGTTTCTGTTGCCTTTTTTCCCGGTTCCTATTTTGCGGGCTTTGTCTGCGCCACTTTGCTTATCTCGGCCACACTTTTTATTGGTCGCCTTTATTTGGCATGACATCCCCCATATTTCACCGAATAACAGCAGCTGAGATAAGTGGCAAGCGGAAGGACATGCGAATTAGTTATGCTTTTGGGAAGGGTTCAGAAAGTAAGAGTTGCACAACAGAGAAAGCGAAAGCCAAGGACTAAAAATAAGAGTATTCTATATACAACCCACGTGAAAGAATATTTATTTTTAAATATTTTACGTCAGCTCCTATAATATTAACTGCTCCAATTTCGTTTCCACTCAGCCAAATGCCAAAAATAACTCAAAGATACTTATGCGACTCAATAAATTACATTTCCAATTTAACAATCTCGGTACTTCGAGCCAATCCAACAAGAATTTACAGCTCTATCAAAAATTATCGCAGCAATATTTCAAATCAAAAATTCATTGCCACCGCAAAAATCAAATTTACAGAACTTGAAAAGTGCGAGGAGCAGCATTTTTCTTCTTTTTATGGAAAATTCGGGGTTTCTCCGGGATGTTTTCAAACATGACACCTGAAACTTTGGCATACAAATTTATGAAAATATTTGCACATCAATTTTACTGCTTGAGGAACGGGGAGCCAACACCTTTTGGCTTCATTGAACTTGCAGCTTGGCAGTACAAAGAGCCCGGGGAGAAGTCTGCCACCCCGATACACATGCAAATATGTATAAACTGAATCAATTTTTACCGCGATAAACTCCGGCTACACCTTCTGCGGAGAAAAGTGGAAGGTGCCGGGGATTTTACGGCACTGAGGTAACTGCAAAATGTTGTGTAAAATTTGCAAATGCAATAAATAACTCGTTTCGGTGTAAAAAAAAGAAAGGGGTTTTGCTTTTGCTGTTTACACCCCCTTTCAGAGGCATGTAGCTTTCCCCTTTTTTTGTGTTTCCGTATTCCTTTTTTGGCTCCTTTTAGGTTTTTCACTCCCCTCCCCCCGGAAAAACCAAAAGCGCGCCACATGTGCGAGTCTGCTTGTAGTTCCTGTGGGTTCCTACTCTCTGGCTGGGTTACTCTATAAAAAGGAGTTCTATAGAGTTACAATAAGTTTTGGAAATCATGTAAGCTTTGACTATCTTTAATAGGAAATACATTGGCTTGTATGTCTAAAAGAAAGCGCTCATATCTTAAAATCAATTTAAACATACTATAAAACCGGTTCAAAAATAATAGTATTCCATTATTATATTCCATATTTATATTCAAGAGAGAAACAGACTTCTTATAAAAGGGCTGATTAAGTAAACTGCTAAAATGTAAAACTAAAACTAAAAAAATTTCCTCCATTAATAATAATGATAAAAATATTTTTAAAGGTATTTTAAAAATATTTCGGAGTAAAATAAACTTTTAATAATTTGTAGATAAACACCCAGGGTATTTGAATCTTCGTCAAAACCATTCCAGATACAATCTCTATTTTTTCAGCTCCTTTTTTGTTTTGCTCTACGTGTTTTTTGGTGTGGTGGAAAGCATCCCCGAAAGTATGCAAATAATTTTTGGCTCCAACTCATATTTGATATTCAGTGTCAGTTGCTCGAAAAAGGGTTACCGAATACAAGTTATTGAAATTTGCATGCAAAGGGGCGGGTGATAAAGGGGAATGTAAATGGAGGGATGGATATGAAGGAACAGCAGGCGTTGTTGAGGCAATTTATAGCACTTGTGTTTTGGGGGGCTGTTCTGCTGAGGGCAAACTTCTCGGTTATTGTTTCGCCATATAAAATGTAAGGGATTTCCCAGCCCCAGAGGACGTAATTGTTTAGTAGTCTTTCGGCTTGATTATGTTCCCTGATTTTTTGGCTGCGGAATTCGAAACATTCCCTGTGATTCTCCCTCGAATGCAGATACCCAATTAGGCTTTATCCCGGTTCAACGCTTTCGCATCCATCAGGATTCGGATGCGGCACTCAAAAGTTGCCATCGCAACGCTAACCGCACAAAAAAGGGCATAAAAAACGGTTCAAATCCCTGAAAATCGCAAAAACTACGCTAATAACATTGTCATATGGCGGGGGAGAAAATGATTTTTATTTTTTGTTGGGGTTTTTGCCACTAAACTTCGCTTATCAAAGTTGAAATTGCAGCGCACATTGGGGATTTGTCGGCCACTCGAAAACTCAACTCCGAATGCCAGGCATTTATAGTGGGGATAGTGGGGATAAGGGATTTCATTTGAAACTCTGATACGAGCAATCGGCGTTTTATTTGCCGCTTTTTGCCGCCGAGTTTCATCATCGTACGCCACTGACCCAGTTCAGACATTTATCACAACGGCACACACAGAAAAAAACAGATACAGGCGACTGTCCTGAGGGTCTAACCCCAGCACAATGAATGACTGACCTCCTCGTATCCCATTCTATGCCATTCCCCTCCCCATTTCCTCCATTTCCCCACTGACTGCTGACTAAGTGGACTTTTATTTCACTATTATTACGGCCCAGGCGGCGTATACGCAATGAATAGTTTCGCCGTCGAGCTTTTTGCTTTTTCTGCTGCCCATCTCAGTTGCTAAGCGATTTAGATTTGATTTCACAGCTTTTGATGGGTTATTTGTTCTCTGTGTAAGATAAAGAGCCACAGAAACTTTTCTGAATCACAATCATTGTTATATCGGTGCAGATATCTACTGTCAGGCCTCCATTCATAAATTTAGACCCCATAAACCTTTGCCTATCTCTTATCTAAGGGTTCGTCACCCAAGAAACGTCATTGACTTGATGACGTCATCCATCATCTTTTTAAATATATTAATAAATTCTATCATTGGGACTAGCGCCGATTCGACATGGAAATTTCAGAGAGATAAGACTATCTACGATTTGCCATGCTTCCGAGTTTTTTGAGTTGAGTAGAGGGTTTTCAGTTGACGATCAACTTTTGGCAGGGCAAGATCACCATGAGCTTTCAGAAGTACCTAGGAATTTTGATCTTGGCATTGGTAAGTGGAGAGAAGTACGATATAAAAATTTTAAATTTATTTATTTATAGCTTGGTTTAAAAATATACCCATAAAAGAATTATTCTTACATTATAAACTTTGAATCTTACGGAATTTAATATCGTTTCAGCTTGCTCCTTCAAAGATAAAAGCTTATGGAGATCAAAGTCGCTATAAATTGTTTTTACAGTCGGATCAGGCTTTGCAAACTATAAGCAGTCAGTTGGTTTCCCAGGCAATTGAACTGGTGGATTATGTAGTAGAAGATCTCCTCGTCGTGGACTCCCAGAACTCGGTTCTTCTGGGCTATTTGGATCGTTTCGATGCCTTTACAGCCGTTAATGCGAACCATACAGAGGAAAAACTGAATGCCTTTTATGACGTGGTAGGGGACTATCTAGACTCAGATACCACAGGAGATCCCCTGAGAACCTCCAGTATTGAGACCCAGTTGATTGCCCTTTGCCTGCAGCGCAATGGATTTGATCGATGGAAGCGAACTGTGCAAACCCGAACTGCCCAACTTCAGAAGTTGATATACAGAAAGCTGAAGAAACACCTGGAATCCATAGATAAAGAGGATCGTTTGGCTGTGGAGCGCAGGTGGAAAAGGATCCTAACTCGTGGGGGACCCCGAAGATTGCAGAAGCTTAGGGAGTTCATCAAATGGCTGGGCAATTTCAGAGACTAGCGACTGACGATCCCAGGTGAACGACTCTTTAGACTTTAAGATAGGCCATTAAGTGATAAGAAGAGTTTTGTATATACATTTTATATGGGTGGGTGAGCGAAATAAAATATTCGTGGTATAATTATAACCGACCATGACCTCGAGCCTAGGCAGCAAACTACTTTTGTGCAAAAGCAAACTATTTATGAAATCTAACCATTACCTTAACCTAATAAAAAACGGAGATACAAAAATATAAGAGCACATTTTTGTGTATCAGTATTACTTTCATTATAAACCATATCGCAAAGGAAAACATATATATGATTATATTATTTAATGGAATATTTACAAACAAAATATAAATGAAATACAAAATAATAATACTTTAATAAACACAGACTTTCTTATATGATTATATTCGAAACAATATTGATATATAAATTTAAAATGTACAGCTCCTTGCGAAAAGTGAGTGCATTATCTACTTGCCCCCCACTTACTTCCCCCTGGTAAATGCAATTTTTCTATAACACGCTCCCTTCTACACCACCCACATTCAGATCATGTATGAGGGCTTTGTTTAATGCACTTCACAGCTGGAGAAAACTTTTTTCCAGCCCCTGTGTCGACGGCAATGAAAACTTTGTCATGCCTCGCAAAAAGGATGATAAACTTGGGGGAAAATTATGAAACTGAATATGGAAGCGCCGGCGAAATTGAGACAGCAAAACAACAGATCCAACAGGACAGGCAGAAGACGTACGAGACTCGTAGCCATGAGAGAACTAAAACTGAAACTAAAACTGATACTTTTTATGGATGGCAAGTGAAAAATGTAGACAGTTGGAGAACGACTTTCCGGGGAGGGGCGAGCGGGATTTGCAGGGATAAAAGAAAAATGGCAACTGCATTTCCTGTCTGAGAGCTGACAAAGTGCTGAGTGCATTTACGACTTGGACTTGGACGAGTGTTTTGTGTCTTTCCTGCAGCTGTAGGAGCTGCCCGGAATTTATGCACTCAGTCCTCAGAGGAAAATGGGCAAATTCCTGCCCTGGGGCATTTTCCATGTGGCCTGGGGTATTTTCTTTGAGCCATCTGATAATCGGGCCCAGCTGTGGCTAATCGGTTTACATTTGTCACACTGGCACTCTGGCAAAGGTTCAGTAAATACATCCCAGTTGCAGACCAAAGACGCTCGCAGAAAGATGCAAGTTGTTCAGAAACTTGGTGAGTCCTGTCTGTGCTCCTTATAACAGGCCTCAAGAGAAACGAAATCAATTGGAATTTGTATTAAGAAATATAAATATCGTTCATATATATATAAGGGAGTTTAATTTTTAATGGTTCAAGTACCATTGAAATCTAGAATAATATTGAACACCCACCTTTGCAGTTTACCTTTCGACTACTGTGGTTTTACTGGTACAGTTGGGTCGATCGAATAAATTTGCTAGCCAATTGTACCACCAGGCCTCGAGAAAGAACCTCCACAGGAATATTGTGCTATCCCCAGCTTCTACCAACTTGGCCTTGGGCTCCGTTTACTTCGGAATGAAACACTGCAAGGAGTTGCAGGCTGTGATGGAACAGGTGGCCCATGGTGACATATTCCTAGACGATGTGACCATGGTCAATCGAATTTTTGTCGATAGGGATGTGCCGCTGCTTAACGGCTACCAGAAAATAACAGCCGAGACCAATAAGTGGAATGCGGATAGGGTGCACTTCGGCGATCCCCAAGGAGCCAGCGATGCGATCAATGATTTCATACGCCTGACAACCAGCCACAAGATGGATAATCTCTTCCATCACACAAGAATAAAGAAAAACACCAAGATGGTGGTGGCCAACACGGCGCATTTCCACGGCAAGTGGGCCAGTGTCTTTTCGATAAGTAATACCAAAAAGCGACCATTTTACCAGGGAAATGGTTTTGACATCCCTGTGGACACCATGGAAACGTTTGGCACATTCCTCTGGGGCGAAAGTTCAGATCTGGATGCGGAAGTGGTCGAAGTGCCTTACCAGAATAACCAGCTCTCTATGCTTATTCTTATGCCCCGCGATCCCGAGAAGGGGCTTCCCGAACTAAGCAACCTCATTAACAATACGGATCTCATGAAGGTGGCCAGGAATTTGGAGCAAAGAATGGTACACCTGCTACTTCCCAAGTTTCGAGTGCACTCAAGAATCGCTTTGGAATCCATTCTCAAGCCACTGGGGGTCAGGAGCCTTTTCATGAACCCCAATTTGATTGGTCTGACTGGTGAGAAGGACAAAAGCTACAAAATTAACACTATGCTGCACAGTAGCTTTATCGAAATCAGCGAGTTCGACAGTCAGTCAGAAAAAATAGGTATATACTAAGTACTAGTTAATGTATTTTTAGGGATCTACCTAATCTTCAATTTCAGAATTTAAAGGCAGAGGAGAACCCATTCAATTCTGGGCCAATCGTCCATTTATCTTTGCCGTCAAGAACCCGAATCATATTTATTTCATTGGTCATGTGGCTGTGCCGAAGGTTACATGAATGTATTATAAAATATTTTACAATTTTATCTTTTATCCACATATAATCTTTAAGATATTACACACAAAATATAATTTTATTAGCACAAATCAGAGTTTCGATGAGCGTATTACAGGAATCTCAAGTCTTTTTCAGGGACCTCTTTCCCTTTACTGTTCATCTCGACGTCGACAGTGAAAACAGAGAAAGGATTTAATACACCCGAAGAGGACCAGAAGTCCCATGCATGTACAACACAGGGCAATGAAGAGGATTATTATGACGAATACGAACAAAAGTCCCCACAGGCCAATGGTAGTTGCCGGTGTATAAGTGGTTGTTTTTATCGCCGCAACTGTTACATTGCTTTCTAAATCTTCGTAGTCTATAATCGTTATCGCCGTCGACTCGTCCATAGCTTATGGGATGTAACTGGACAATTTTGGTATTTCCGGTTCCAGATTGACACCTCTAAAAAATGGAAAATTGTGGTATGAAAATAGATTTATATTAAAGAACCACAGCTTACTGCAATTTTCAATTCATGACGTCTTCTGGTTTCTCGCATAGCAGATTATGAATTTCGGACCAACAACGGGCTGGAAAGTTTTATGTAAAACATTCAGAGATTCTTAAAATTATTTGAATTTTTAAGAGGTCAGTCGCAGCTTACTAAATCGCACATTGTATTATCAGGAATTTAGTTTCTTTTTAGATTCACCATGGTTTTTTATGTGCAAAGTGAATTGAATTTTTAATGAATTCCTAATTTAGTACACCATTTTGGCCGTAAAGATGGAAGTAAAAAACTTAGATATTAAAGAGAAGAAAGGTGAGAAGCAAAGTCTCGATTGGGTTCATTAAATTACGTTACATTTGAGCGTAATGGTTTGATTGATAGGTATTCTCCGTATATATTTTCATGAACGACCACCTGGAGTTTTTGAGTATCATCATAAACTTACGTGCATCATGCACTGTGGTTTATAAGGTTACGTGGACTCCCTAACGAAATATGCATATATGTATTGTACACATTAACGTCAGAAATGGGTCTGCATTGAAAACTGTTTTTCTGGATTATATCTATACATAAATATAAAGATTAGAATATATTCAATATTTTTATTTTATTTACCCAGAAAATTATAGATTTATAAAAATAAAAATTTTTTTTCAATAAGTGATCGCTAAAAATTCTGTAGATAGGAAAGATGTTAAATGTAGTTCAAAGTCTTGTTATAAGCAATTATAATTATCATTATACATATTAAATTTATTGCGTTTTGTTGCGAACGTACATGGGACTAGTACACATAATTTGGAAATTGATTTTCTGACTGATTAATCATCGTCTACGTTGCAGTCCCCGCAGCCGTCGCAACATTCCTCCCCTCCGCCGCCCCCCTTGTCGCCGCAGCAATCATCTCCGCAGCAATCATCGCCACATCCATCGCCGCAGCATCCATCACCGCCTCCTCCCTCGCCCCCATCGCCGCAGCATCCATCGCCGCAGGTGAAGCAGGCGGAGCAGGCCAGTCCGCAGCAGCCGCACAGGCAGAGGAGCGGCAGGCAGATGATGAACAGGCAGCACAGGAGCACCACGAACACGATCAGGACGATGATCCCCACACCCATGGGGCCCGAGGACTGCTTGCTGGCGGCGGTGGTGGTGGTGGTGGCCACGGTGGTGCTCCACGAGTAGGACCCCCAGTCGACTACATAGACCGGGGCTACGGTCGTTGGTTCCGAAGAATCCTCCGGTGCTAGTGTGTCCTCCATTATTGCTCAGAGATTATATTAGTGGAAAGCAAATAACAAGTTTTGGGCTTCGAAACAAAGCCTCCCACAGAACCTATGTTTGTATACAAATTTGAATACAAATTTACCTCAATACTTGTATGTAGCATTATGGTTATTGTTATTATCTAATGCTATCCTACACAGAGAGAGTTCTGGTGTTCTAATCTGAGTTCAGAATGTTCTTAAAAAGAGAACGAAATTTTGAAGAGGAAAATGTTTTCATTATGCCTAAATCAAGATTAATTGGTGGTATTTACATTGTATATCTCAACAGCTAAACTATTAGTCCGTATTAGTCAGTAGTGTATACTTATTGAAAAGTTGGTAAATAAACTCAATTTAACTTTTCCCTTCTCACCATTTCGTTCTAATACTAAGATAATTGTTACCAAACTGTACTTAAACGGTTTTCAAGAACAAATGTTCTCAAATCAAGAACTTTGTACTTGAATATTTCTCTCTGTGTATAGTTTTATAATGGTGATTTTGCAGCAAAACCTTATTGATATACATATATGTAGATGTATAACCTATTACTAGTATTATTTTTATCATTGTAAGATTATATTAACAACTCAAACATGTATTATTTTAAATAACAAACTTTTTAAAGGCATTCTCAATGTACAATATATACAATTTCAATCGATTTTCTTTATCTAAATACCTCACCCTTGAATTTCAAAAGTTAGGCAGCTCAAGGCTAGAAGTGCATTCGTCACTCCTCTGGGGATTGCCACATCAAGTGACTTCTAACGATCCTCCCCATTCAAAATGCTCCGCACAAAAGTGCTCATTAAACCCACACACACCCTCGCACTTACAATGCGATTTCGAATTGTATAAAAATTAATGAAATGCATTAACGAAAGCGTTTCGGAGGGGATGGGCAGTGGTGGGGTGGAAAATGGGCTTGCGAGAGGGGAAGTCCTCGAGCGGGGTTCTGAGGTCCCTGTCCCTGAGCCCCTGAGTGTACCTGCGCTCGTTAGCGCTCCACACACACCCACTCGGGTACTTCCCCGCCCCAAAACTCATATGCAAAAACCCACTCTCGCCTCTCGTCATCATTATCATAATTTGAATGTGATGCGAGCCTTAAAATATTCATGCGAGTAGAAAGATTTTTTTCAAGTGTGCACACGTGTGCGCGTGGGTTCGTTACACGGGGGTGTTTACTGTACCAAGAGGTCGTTGATTATAATGACTGTATTTTGTGTGCTGATTACTCCACAGAGAAAATTAAGACAATGAGTCAACAACTAAACGCGATAAAAAAGGGGAAGCTGTTGTGTGATATATATTTCGGAATATTAAATATATTCTGACAATTCTAATACATTTTAAAGAACCTTAGCAGGAAGGATGCCAATTTTCACTGTCTTATCTTTAACCAGAAATGAGTTCCCTAAGGTTGCTAGATAAAATCGTTATACAAGAACGAATGTATGAACATCCAGACTTAAAGAACCTTATAATGCATGCATTATAATGCATACCAAATCTTACAGTCCTAGCTTTCCTCAGAACTCAGTTCCTTGAGCTCCCAAATCAAAACTTTATAAAATGCTCCCCAGGATGGCATCAATCCACTTCTCTTTTTCAATCACAAATCATTGATTGCGATTGGGAACTATTAGACACGTTTGTCAGCCAATTGGCAGGCAGCATTGAAAGCTCATTCAATTCACTGCCTCACACGCACACAATCGCGCTGTCACCCACACTCAGACATTCATTCGCACACCCACACACACACCTTAACCCTTAGCATCATGCCACACGTGGCTGCATGTCAAAGTGCAAAGTTTTGTGCCACAAAAAACAGGTTGCGAGGGGTGGCATTTGGGGGGTAATGGCAGTCAAAAGAGCCGCTTGTCGATGTTTTCAGAAAAAGAAAAAAGCGGAGAAAATCATAGGGGAAAAACCAGAAAAAAGTTGTGTTTTCCTCGGCGCTGTTGCTGGCAACCCTTTTAGCCCTGGCAATTTAAACTCGCATGCTCCAAAGTTGCCCACTTGCCACATCCTGTCGTTGGCGTTGCCGTTGTCCTTGTTGTTGCTGCGGTGGCTGTAGTTGCATCCCTCCAAGGGCTGTGGGGCTTTAGGGGGTTAAGGCGTGGGGCTGAGGGGTAAATGCGTGGCAGCAATGCGCGAATGCACAAAGTCAACTTGCACATTAGAATTCGACGAGAGATGAGTTCGAGGGAAATTAAGCACAGCAAACACGCTGGCTTGAAAGGCAAAAGGACTGCACTGATAAAATAAAGTCTCTATTGAATTAAAATTAAGTAAAACTTAGATTAAATATAAAAACCTAATATTAAATACGAAACACTTATATTGAGTGATATATCAAAATATTTTCATCTATATAGAAAATATTAAATGAAATGGTTGCTATGCTTACTTTAACCATTTTATAAGTTATTTTCATTTAGTCAATTAGTTATTAAGTTTTCATTTAGTCAATGTAAGCTAAGTAGGAATACGTATGGCCCTTTCTGGATTTTTCATAAATGCAATGGTAGACTTAAAAAATTAAATAAACGGCATTTACTTTTGATTAAGCATTTTCGGGAAATCCTTAGTAAATTTTAATTAAAATAAAAATAATATTCAGAAAGAAATCGAAAAGGCGAGAATTCTCAACCAGTCATATCTACGTCCCCGAGGGCAATCGTTGCCCACTGAATTTATGTATATTCCCAACCAATCATCATCATCATCGGGAATAAACGCAGAGGCTATGATCATGTTTGTGTTTGGCCATCATCGCATTCATTGGCACTCAACGGAGGCAGCGAATTGCAATCGTAAACTTGATTGTAATAGTATAATTTTTGGCGTAAAAGCCAAACAAATAAACAAGACAAGGGGTGGGCACCCAGGATATCCCATCCAAGGATAATCCCCGCACAGATGAGTCAGTGGACGAAGGCGGCCGAAATTCCTGCCCCCGTTTTCATGCAATTTTTATGACCTGGCTCTATTCGCTGTTCTTTACTTTGTTTTTTTTTATTTGGGGGCGAGTCGAGAGAATCTCACTCATAATCCGCCCCAATGGACCTTTCTCTGCAAGGCTGCAAAACCATTTACTCTTACCCTAACTAGAATCTTTTGGCTTTTTCCTATTTTCCTTTACTTTTCCCTGCTTTCCGCCTCACGAATCCTGCGAAAAGTTATTGTTATCCTTTTGTTTTAGTGCGCATCTTTTATACTCGTTTCTATTTTTTTTCTCCTGTTCTTATTGCCTTGGCTGCCCTTTCGCATTGATTCATAATACATAAATATAAATATTGCGTATACGCAGCGTTTGCCTTGCCCACGATTGCCATAAATTCTTATAAGCGTGGCAGAAACACACACAGGGAAAACCCAGCGCCGAAGTCATCAATCTTTCAGCATTTCACTTAGATAAAGCAAACTCGTACTCCCTTTTCCCTCTTACCAATATTTGTGCATAAATATTAATATTGCATGACCATTTTTATTTGTTTGCCGGCCAGACAGGATCTTGGGGTTTCTTCAGCTGGAATCGATAAGAAGCTGAGATTACAGTCTCATATTTAAGATCTTGGATTCACTTAATATAAACGGTCAAGCTTCACCACTCATATATTTTGAATATATAGGAATGGCTGTCTTCCCATTAATAAAAGAAAAAATCAAATATTTACTTTTTAAAAATTGGTAAAATCATTCCCCTTTACAAAAACGTTGTAGTACGGTATATAAAAGATATATCCTACAAACAGGGTGAAGTTGCTGGAAATGAAAGTAGTTTGGCTGGATCTTAATGATATGAATAAACAATTTCTGAATGCATTACTGAATCGCTACTACAAATGATTTAATTTATTTTTCCCCTCTGCTAACTCGAAATGATTGCCTTTCCCCCGACCAATTCCTGCGAATAAGTTCGTCCTGATTTATGTGGCTAAATAATTAGCCCCTTTTAGGAGCTATTAAATGGATTCCAAACAGTGCCCATAAGAGCCCATCAATCGGCCATTCCCCCATTTTTGTGCTGCCAATCGAGCGACGGCGGTAATAAATTGAGAGATCCAATATTTTGGCACGGGACCCATTGGATTTAAATATTTGCAATTACATTTAAATGTTTGGCCATGTGTGGATTTCGATTTCGGATCTCAGGCTGCTGAGTGGGTGGTGTCTGCGAAAGTATCCTTGCACTCGGGCCCTGTCTGCTCGCACATGCCAATAAATTTCGAGGCACAAAGTGTCAACGCGGCCGAGCCCCCCGATTTGCATATATTCGCATATCCCCTTTTCACTTTATATGGCAGGCCCTTTCTTTCCGCTACTTACAACAATATTATAATGGAATCCCACTTGAAAATAGAGCAATATCCACTTGCATATGTTGCCGCGGACATTTCGAGAATGAGACGACGCTATAAATATTATTGAATTGTTCCAGCCCCCCGCAGTATTTCGCTCCATTCCGCTGCTCAAGGGTCCGCCCCTTCTGGTGCAACAACAGCAACAGACGATGATTGCGGCAAGCGGATGTAAAAACCTTGGCAATGACAGTTTTTGGGCTCCGATCCGGTCTACGTCTGTTATGCAAATATCTTTACATATAAATATGTGGGCACTGGGAGAAAAGGGTGAGTTCCATGGAAAGAAGCTCAATAAACTATGTTAATCGAATTGTAAATAATTAATTAATTAATATATAATATTATAATTAACATAGGATTTACAGTAGTAGTAGCCAAGAACATAAACAATGTAGGCAACCCATGAAATACAATATGAAACTCCAATAAGTCATTGTATGCTCATTAAATAATTGTAAATCATTTCTTTCTTTTTCCGTAATTACGTAAGTACCCTTAATTTCTCTCTCTGCATAAATCTGCCCTCGTATATGAGAGTGTGTGAGTAACTGTTTATATGCAAATCTTTTATTTCGCTGTTGCCTCCGTTTCATTTCTTATTTCCGTTGCATGGCCGCC